CTGGTCCTGCAGTAGATCTATATAAACGATTGGCGTATATCCCTTGTAAGGCAATCCTGGCCTGTGTATGTAGATAACTGAGTAATGACTGTAAGCGGTGAGTTTCATATAAGCGAGGGGATCCCTAGTTCTGACAAGATCCTAGTGAAGAATGTGCTGAATTCGCGCGATATATCTCGATCGTGATAGATGCTTCTCCGTGGCTTACTCGCACAGATGTGTAGCTCTCTTGGACTCATTCAGGGGGCGTATTGTATAAGAAATGGGTTGAATCTCCTGTATCCCTCGCCATACCCTAACATCTTCGGACATCAGTAATCACAAACGTCACAGTCTTTACCTACCCATCATGACTCCTTCAGTTCACGCGGTCACGCTATTCATTCTCTCAATCTTGAATTTTGGCCATGCCTTTGCAGTCCCAGGTGTTCCCGGCGCGGGTCATTCCGCACGCATTCATGAACGCGCCTTGACGAGCTGGGTTATGAAAGGATACGGGACCGAATCGTCGTGCACTCAGGAGCAAATCGACCAAATCGAGCCTGCAGTGGAGTACGCCAAAATCCTAGCCAAGGCTGCCATGACGGCTTTGGAGGATGTAGGGACGTCAGGGGTGGCGTACCGGCGCTGGTTTGGTGGTGAGTTGCGCCGTAACCCTACCTATGTCCTCATTTCGTCTCATTCCATTCTGAGATCGCCTTTCTACCCCTAAGCTCTCACCATTGCGCGTTGGGATCAAACTAATTCCATACGTAATTTAGACAACAACGCTAATGAAAACACCCTCGCATCCATCAAAGCAAACAACTACGAAGCCGTGATTTCGGGACTGCGAGCACCCGAATCAGGAACAGTAAAGTCTGAAGACGAAGGCGGCCCGGACAAATCCAGACTGGTGTTTTCCTGCCCCGACTCGGAGCATCCCGTGTGCGAGCCGAACCCGTATGCAGGGACTGAGCCGATCGCCGGCATGCTCAATGCCGGCGAGGTTTACGACAACAACGTGCTGCGTCTCTGCCCTCCCTTTTTCCGCCAGGTTAGCCACTCGCAGATGCTTGTCAACTGGCGTGATTGGAAAGAAGGCGACCTGCAAACATCAGCGGGCTTCGCACTGCTTCATGAGATGCAGCATCTTGATGCTATAGTCGGCAAACCCAACCATTGCGCTGATCACGCGTATACAGTTGCAGAGCAAGTTACTCTCTTGGGATGAAGCTGTCTCAAGAACGCAAAATGAAAGAGCCTGAGCCATGCTAACTACCAGACAACGTAGCTGTGAGAAGCTTTCTAGCGTTGAAAGACTGAAGAATGCCAACACCTTTGCATTATTCGCGCTGGACGTGCTTGTGAACCCGCCAAGCCCGACCAAGTGAAAACACGGAAAATAAGGACGTTGTTTCTTCGACTCGAGCGGGTGACGCACATAAGCGGCTTCATCAGGCCGTGCATCATGTCCGCCGCGCCCAGCGCTCCGTTGCCCTTGTCGAAAATGATTGCCTCTAATTACGCCGCCGTGGCAGACGCCCTTGCGAAACGTTGTCAGTCCGTGGCCCAGGGGTAGCAGGAACGAGACTTTGGTGACGATGCGCGACTCCAGAGGTTTCTTGTCAAGGTCTTCGTTTGGTCTTGCGTGGTAAGCGTTGTCTGCCGCCTCGACTTGTGTAGTGGGCTGGTGAACGAAGGCCATGAAGGGGGGGATGGTCGCCGTCTTATTCAATGACGGCGCAGAATCCAAAAGGCGTGCCCTTTGTGGACGTAGACTCAGCTGAAGAGGAGTTTGATGATGAGCTCTTGGCTGGACAGGATTTGTGCGCACCAGGACATGGAGTTGAAATGCGCTAGCTGGTTTCCCCCGTTGTGGTTGTCACAAGAGTCCATCATGGGCCAGATTGGAAGAGCCATTTGTGTTGCTGATACGGCGAGTGAGGTAGATCTCACAATGAGGTCAAGGTTGTGGAAATGGGGGTATTGTTGATGTCGCTCTCTAACTCTATACACCATCTAATACAGACCAAGCCGATCAAGCATCGACATTAACACTTAGTCCCTCAACGTCCTTCCTCGTCGAGATGTAAAACTGACTGTCCTTCCCGACAGCCTCCTCCTCAAGCTGCAACCCTTTCAACGCCAGATCGCGCGTTTGCGCTGCTTCCCCGAGCTTGGCCGCCATGCGCGCAGCGGCGATGTGCATGGTCGCAGCCTCCCGGCCCCGAATGCCCTCCATATCATACGCCTTCACCAACGCCAACATCAACTCAAACTCAGCCCTCGGGTCCTCCGATGCAGCCTCCGCAAACTGCTGCAACTTGGCCGCAATCTCCGCGCGCCTCGCCTCTCCAGCCTCCGACGTCTTGGGATCGCACGCCGAGCAATCACAAAGAAACCCGTACCCGTTCTGGAGGTGGTCCTGCCTCGCCTGCCGCAGCCCGAGGTGCTCATCCAGATAAGAGATGGTGATTTCCTCCTCCGGCTTAATGTCCCGTGTCGCATGGACCGTGAAGGCGTCCAGCTTCTTGTTGAAATTGCCCTGCGCGTTCGGCACGCACGAGTGGTTGAGCCGCGCGACCTGCGGGAAGAGCGCCTGCGTCTCGTCGCCGATGTTGAAGTTGTTGTTGCGGAAGATGTTGAGGATGGTGTGGTTGAGCACCGTCCGCCCGGGGCTGGTCTTGCTCTGCCACAGCGACTCCGCCCAGCTCAGCACGCCGGCCTTGCCGGGGTTGAGCGACAGCGACAGCAGCGACTTTTGGCCGGCCGTCGGGAGCGCGTGCGCCTGCCGGAGGATGTTGGCGCTGGTCTCGGAGGGGAGGAGGGTGAGCAGGGCCCGGTCTGCGAGGACCCGCTGGCCGCGGGGGATGGGCGTTGCGGCGAAGACGCCGAGGCCTTTGCCGGCGGCCTGCCGGACGGTGAACATTGGGGAATCGGGGCGGTCTTTTTTTGCGACGGCTGCGGGAGAGAAGGGGGCGGCGGCGGAAGGGGAGGAAATATTTTTGTCGTCTGCCTTCCTGCCGGAAACGGAAAGGTCAAAGGGGGCGGACGGCAGCTGGCTGAAAAAGGCAAGGGGGCACCCGACTCGCCGCCTCCGGGGCGAAATTAGCGTCTCGGGACGGAATGCAAGGGTCCTCGCCTTATCGTGTGTTGTTTCGTGTTCCGACGGCTCAATTATTTGCGCGATAAGGAACTTTGCCTTTTGGTCTTCAGACTCAATCAACTGTGTTGTGAGGAGCTTCTGCAACTCGTCAGTTCCACATTTCAATACAGAAAATTGGAACTCTTCGCTCTGAACATTGCTCAACTCAATTGGCAACGATCGTCATCCACTCTTCAACTTAAATGCAACTTGAGCTGCGAGCCCCTGCCAATATTCTACTTTTTCTGATCCGCCCTGTGCACTGTAGTGCTGATCATTCGCTCCCTCTACTGAAGTTTTCACACAGGGCGCCCAGCAATCGGACAGGTTCTTTCTTATCCGGGAACACCACACTGACAGCCATAGTCTACACGCCCAGAAACAGGGCTATAAGCAATTTCGGGATCTGCATTTGGGTGCAGCGGCCGAGGTCCTGTTATCCATCATTTGATCATCTTCTCGAAGGCGGCTACAAGTTCCTGCCACGTTGTCAGCGTTGCCGTCATTCGACACTAGCATCATGAACTCACATCAAAATTACAATCGCTCATTCTTTCAAAGACGGCTTCGTTCTTCCACAATTGCATGCTGCTGATGCGCGGCGTCTTGATGCCAAAGGCCACGCACGCCATGAATCGGGGATCATCCTTCGCCGTGCTGTTGGCCAAGGCCTGCTTGGTAGCGGAGGGCGTCTTGCTCGACTTCGCCTTCCGCGCTTCATCGCTGCAGAGGGCTTTGCAGACGCTTGCAATGCTCTTCATGAGATCCTTGTCGAGCGGCTTCGGCTTGAACTCGGGCAAGACCACCTGCTTGTGCGTCTCGCACCAGGTGCAGTGCCCGCACTCCTCGACCGACGCGTGAGTGGTATCGGCAAAGTAGGCCGCCAGGGCGCGCGTGATGCACTTTGTGCCTGTCAACAGGTTGACGAGGTCCTGGACCCGCTGCAGATCTTGCTTTTCCTTCTTGGTGATTTCCTGGTCGATGTTATCAATCATTGCGTCGATCTCCGGCTGGCTCTTGGGCAGCGCCTTCTTGAGTCGGAAAACGTTCTGGACGCCAGACTTTTGGAGCTTGACGACTCCAGATTCGGCCCAATGGTCCAACCTTCTTGTGATGTCGCCTCGGTTTAGGTGCTTGCCATCCGCAACATCATCGATCTCGATGAATGTCCATATTTTCGCCGTTCGAGATCCCCGGCGTATCGCTTTTGCTGCTGGTGTATCGTCGTCGTTGTACTCTTGTCGCTGAATCACCTGATACTTGTATTCGGAGTATTGCGGTGTTCCTGCTCGAAGTAGGCCGAACTTCAGCTCCAAGTAGGCGTAAATGATGGACAGTTGCGTCTCCTGCTAGCCATTAGTGACTGTTGTCTACTCGATTGGATGACTGCCCAAACCTTGATATCAACTCGTTTGGACTGCATGGTGATCCCCACGGAAAATGTCTCGCCAGGAGAAAGCCGACAGTGCTCTTCATCGCAAATCTCCTCGAATAACGCGCGGAGAGCCAGTCTCGAAGGGCGTTCTCCATGCACGAGCACGTTCCTTAGGAAGAAGTCTTTGTCTGACAGATACAGCATGCATGTACTTGGTTTACCGTCTCGGCCGGCTCTTCCAATCTGTTGGCTGTACGCTTCGATGCTGCTGGGAAGGTCAAAGTGGATGATAGTCCGGACGTTCTCCTTGTCGATTCCCATGCCGAAGGCAATCGTGCCAACAATCTGCGGGGAAACTGAGTTAGAAAATTGATCTGGGACATGCTTCCTTCAATTCCATAACTCACAATCATGTCGGTACTGCGTAGAAATTTGTCTTGGATGTCGGATCGCACGTCCTTGTCCAGCCCTGCGTGATACGGCTTGGCCTTGAAGCCTTTGGCAACCAGCGACTTGGAAAGGCTTTCTGTGCCCTTGAGTACCCATGTGATCAGCTCAGTCCTTTTCGCGAATTCGGCAAACATACTGCGTGTGTTGTAACATAGATGATGGACGGCCCCGGGTGTTTCTTTAAAAAGCTGGTACAGATCTTCACCTGGTCATCCTTCTCGTTGATAGCTTGAACACGAAGATTGAGGCTAGACGTGTCAGATTTGGTTCTCTGCGATAAAAACTAGACGGGCACTAACTTTGAACGATACATGCTTGTGACGAAGAGGCCTTCTGGGAGGATGTTGAACGTGTCACGGATATCCTTCGCGACAGCCGCCGTGGCGGTCGCAGTAAGGCAGACGACCCGTTCGACATTGGCTTCCTTGGCGAACCGAGCAACTGCAGCCTTTGGTTAGAAATGGGTGCCCAGGTTGCAGATCTGGGCGGAACTCACTTTTGAGGTAGTCTGGTCGGAAAGAATGTCCCCACTGCAGGTACTCTTTAGCGCGAGCGGTAGAAAGATGAACACAGGATTGATGACCGTACCTCTGAAATACAATGAGCCTCATCAATGGCGAGTAGCCGTATGCCGCCGCGGATGGCTTGGAGAGAGGCAAGGAAGCCCTCGTTGTTCAGACGCTCCGGCGCACAATACAACAGGTCGAGCTTGCCGCACGAGAGCTTTTGGTGAATGTCGACGAAGGTTTCACGAGTCTGGGTCGAGTCAAGAACTGCAGCACTGATACCTCTTCGTCGGAGGGCATCAGCCTGGTCCTTCATCAATGCAATCAACGGAGAGATAACCACAGTAACTCCACTCTCCTCGGGGCTTCTGGAATTGATCTGACGGTCAAGCTCTTTGATAGCGACAGCTGGGACCTGGTGATCGTCAGCAACCATGAACATATGCTACTGGCCGTGCAGGAGCGTACCTGGTAGCACAAGCTCTTGCCTCCTCCAGTGGGAAAGACCACCACAGCACTTTCGCCACCAATAATTCGACTAATCGCTGCTTCTTGCTCTAGACGAAAAGCGTTCAAACCGAATCTCTCCTTCAGTACTTTCTGGGCAAGCTCTGATGTCTGTGATCCAGATCGGTGCTTCTTGGAGGCAGGCTCTTCGATGGCATCATCTCCATCGTCTGGAGCCCGCTTAGCGTTGCGAGGGACGCCGTCGGCAACGGCGAGGAGGTCTGCCTCATCTGCAGAATCAAACTCGAAGTCGTCGTCCATTCCTGCGTAGACCTAGATCGCTGAGATACAATCGAGGTACGAAGCGATCCAGGTAGGGTCGTGTCAGAACGTCCAGTTGGCGTCGGTGGGTTCGAGAACGGTCGTTGGTGTGCCAATTCGGGAAGGAGGGACCGGAGGGATTGGCCGCAATGACGCGCTGAAGCTGCAGGCGCGGACGTGGAACGCGTAAAGTTGGCTTAGTCATCCCCGCCGTTCATGACATGCCCCATACTCTCCCCAAGCACGGGCACTCACACAGGCACTCACTCATTGGGGAGGGGAACTCATCGATCTCATGATAAGAAGAAGGTGCTCGCTTACCTTGAGCATCAACTATTCAAACACTTGTATACTATGACTGAAGTTTGGTAATCCTCGAATCTTTGAGGATTTGAATGAAGAACAACGTTCATACCAAAGCCTGCGTAACATCCGGACCCCGGGCCCCGGGCGCCTCGGTCCTTGGCCAAGTCAGGTTCCATAGTATTATGCGATGACGGAGTCGAGTTTTGAGGCAGATAACTTGGATAATGTGAAAAAGATGCATGTGACTGAGTTTCTAGGGCATTAAGAGGAAGATGCTCCTTCACTCACGAAACTCTTGACTTCTGGACGCAATGGTTCAATGACGGATCGTCTTCGCAGAGGTAAATTGACGGTTAATTATCCTCGGTCTGTTTCGCCAACAATTGCCGAAATCATGGCAATCGCGGCTCTCAAGATCAAGATATCGAAATGTTGCTGCCTGGCGGACTTATGGACGTGTCGCGCCGAATGACCCGCAGTGCCCGAGAAACATAAGAGATGAGGCACCCCAAGCTATCATGCGCCGTGCTAGGTAAGTATCTTCAAAAAATCATTCCATACGTCTCTCGAGCGTTGTTGAAGGTTTGAGACTACTCCTCTCGCTGTTCAACTTCTCAAGTAAGAAATTTTGGGACGCAGGAACAATATCTTGCTGATAATCCCATGCAGAGCCATCTCGGCCGAGTGGTCAACCAACAGTCGGCCTGCTTGCTCTTCATTAGGATTATCTCTGCTGTTCATCAGCTCGGCCTATCACAACCTTGACCACCTCGAGGATAGCGGTTGCAACAAAGGCTCATGCTCACATTGGCTAGTTCGGACTAGACCCTGGTAGTCCCGCAGTGGCTCCTGACAGGGGTTGTGAGAGAAAGCGCACCAGCCCGTCCTGGCTTTTCTTCTTCTCCGCTTCGAAGCTCTGGCTCCCAATGTCTCTCACCACTCTGCAGCTAGGTTGTGTCTCCTTTGCCCCCTCAGGAGGTGTCAGACGCGCAGGCGGCTTACTCTGACGAACAATCTCTCGGCAAAACCTAAACATTGGAGGCTGACTTGTGGGTTTCTGCTGCCTCCACACACCGGGGCGGCCACAAGCGATGGCTCGGAAAGGCAGCCGGAAAACCAGAACGGGATGCATCACCTGCAAGTGAGTGTGCCTGGGCGGCCGCCGTCTGGTATCACAACGAAATGCCTTCTTCGTGACGATGCGAGATACTCATAAGGGGCTCCGGTCTAACGGTCGCTAGAATTCGCAAAGTCAAGTGCGACGAGACGAAGCCGGCATGCAACCGCTGTATGGCCACCGGCCGCCACTGCGACGGCTACTTGCCCACCGGCAGCATGTCAGCAAGACACACAAACTCGGCTCTCCGCTTGCATCGCCCAGAAGGATTTCCAGGGATAAGGACCGCTGGAGAGAGCCGAGCTTTGCAGTACTTCTGTCAAGAAGCTGGCCCGCAACTGTCAGGCGCGGTAGACCCCCTTTTCATGTCGAAACTTGTCATGCAATTTACTAGCTACGAGCCTGCTGCTCGGCACGCCGTCCTAGCCATCAGCACTCTCACCGAGCAACTACACGGCGGCACTTGTGGACCACTGGTCCGAATCCAGGATCAAGAGTTCGCACTTCATCATTATAATGCCGCGATCAACGACATTATGAAGCTGAGGTCACTAGAAACACATCCAGTGGTACTGCTCGTGTGCATCCTCTTTATCTGCATCGATGTCTTGCAGGAGAATCGCAAGATGGTCATTCAGCACTGCAAGCACGGGTTTGCCCTTCTCAAGCACACCACATTCGAATACGCCTGGACAAAGCAGTATCTTTTGCCTTTATTCCGAAGAGTTGCTGCCACCTCATTCATATGGGCAGATGACTCTTCAGATTTCCCGGACCTAGATGGCCTAGAGCACCCTATGCCTGATGGATTCTTCAACTTCGCCGATGCCCAGGCCATGATCGATGATGTCTTCAGCCGGACGCTTCGACTCGTGAGACGAGGTGATCCGTATCGCATTCATCCAGAAACGAATGGGGCACCGCCCCAAGAATTGTTAATCGAGCAAAGCCAAATTAGACGATTGCTAGAACAGTGGGAGCTGCTAATGGAAGATTTCGAGGCTCGTCCGCTGTCCCCGCCTGGGAGAGAGTCCCCGACGACAGAGAACTTGACCAAGACCCTCCGATTCATCCTCCGCTGTCGCTTCGAATCCTGCAAGATATGGCTGAACATGGCATTAGAACCAGAGGTCTACGACCACGACAAGCACATGGATACCTTCGTCGAGATGTTGGAAGATCTTGGGGTCACAGACCCTGAATTTCTCGATGGGTTCCGACGGTCACCAAGTTTTATGTGCGATGCCGGCTATGTGCCCATGATCGTACTGACATCTGCAAAATGTGCCCATTTGGAGTCAAGACTGTCGGCTTTGAAGTTGGTACCGGTCCCAGGACTGCCAAGGGAGCTTCTGTGCCTTCCAGCACACGCATGGGGCTGCCCGGAAGTCAAGGACCTGCCTCAAGTAATTCAAACCTCAACGGAGGATACTGGTACACCACCTAATGATGTAATGGAAATGAGTACATAAGATGTATGAACGGAAAGTATTTCTCAAGCAATGATGAGCCGCGGGTGATTTGCGTTTTACTGCAGTATGCAATGTCTGCCTCACGGCGCCTGCAGATGGACCTGGTCTGCGCATGCATTTATTCCAAATCAAGACGAGGATCCGCCTCCTGCCTCAAACGGTAATCGTAATAATGAACCACCAATTGGATTAGGCTTTGATTGCGCATGGCAGGTAAAACATCTAAAAACAGCATCGTATTTGCTGTGGGGAGACTGATCGACCACTGCTCAGCACCAAGACAATGTGTCTCTATTCGAAGTCGAAGGCAGTTATTCCGATCGTCAAATTGATCCCGTGACAATAAAGCCACTCACTCAGCTTTTCTTGTAAGATAGACCTGACCCTGGAAAATAATTGACACCAATCAACTTGAACGCCTACAGAGCTGAAGCAGCCACGCAAGCCCCCTGCAGGTCGGTTCGGCAGACAAGGGTCGATACCGAAAGACAACGCGAGGCACGGCTCCTCAATCCGAACCGAAAGTCTTCAGTGATATCTTGAATTGAAATGTTTTGGATCTTTTATATAACCAGACTAGACGGACATCGAATTCCATCTCCGGAGGCCAGTATCGGAACCCCACTGCCGGTAGCGGCGCGACTGATACCCACCGTCCACCCGAGATCGCGAAAAACCGAGGGCGCCCAAAGCAGAAAACAGGACATCTAATCGGACATCACTGATAATTCTCAAAAGTTTCTTCTTGGAAACTCTGGCCCGAAAGACAACTTTCACTCGCATAGAGCTCGTCATGTGTTCACGACATCCAAATTTGAGCCGCGCCAAGACGGCATCGCATACAACGACAACAATCAATTCCTGGCCATCTTGAGATCACGTCTGACCCCTGTCCGGAATTCACATCCCGCAAACCTTTCGTGCCAACTCCCCGGGCCCCGAGAAGCGGCCCCGAGAAACCGGTCAAGATGATCAGCGGGGATGCTGTAATCCAGTACGACCGTCCCAATGAGACTTAAAGGATAACATCAACGGAATATTCACCTCATTTCGCATGGCTGTCTGGACGGCTCAAAACACCGGTCGGTTCGGTGGGGGCCGAGGTTCGGGATATTAGCTTTCGGCCCCGAATAGGACCCACTTCGGTTCGGCACGGGCTGCTGCACAAGCATATTAACACAGACATACATACCGACCCGACAAACGCCTGGCTACCCTATCCATTCTCAAAAAAGATATCAACGGTAGCTCTGGCAATTACATGGGATCGAATCCACTAAGAAGAGACCAATCACATTGGCATTCGCAACCCTTCAGAGTGCAATTGTCTCTGAGCCAATCACCCACATACGATGGCTTGTCCCTTCAGCGATTCGCGTCAACTCTTCTTTGACTTAGCCTCCTCTAGAAACAGTGAAGGGTTCCAATTCAGCGAAAAACTCGGCAGCTACGTTGTTTCTCGCTACGATGATATCGTCTCAGTCCTCGACAGGCCCGAACTTTTCAGCTCTCGGCCGACGGTGCCAGAGTTCCCGCCAATGGTCCGGGATCTGTTTGCCAACAAAGTACCAGACAAGGGCACATTGTTAGCACACGATAACCCTGATCACGATCGGCTGAGAAATAGCGTCGCATCCTTCTTTGTGCCACGTAGACTGGAACGATTCGAGCCGATGCTCCGCGCCGCTGCCCATGACCAGATCGACAGATTCGTTGATTCGGGCTCAGTCGAGATCAAGAGTCAATTTGCACTCCCTGTACCATTAAGATGTATCGTGGTAGTCGCAGGATTGGACCCAGCCAGATGGGAGTGGATCGGACGTTGTCTTGCACTGTTCGGCGGCATCACTAAGTCTGAAGAGGAACTCAGCATTCAGAAAAGAGTTCAAGATGTCTTGGATTTGCACGCATACATAGCCGGTGTCATTGAGGATAGACGGAATGATCGAAAAGACGATCTAATCAGTCATATTTGGAACGGAAGAGATGCTGGAGTAGTGGAATTGACCGACTTCGAGCACCTTAGCATGATTCCAGGCCTTCTTCTTGCCGGCCATGAGACTACGACCAATGTTCTATCCATGGGGATGGCACACCTGCTCCATCAAGGCTTATGGGAGCGAATTTCAGAAAGCGACGCGACAAGATCAGCCGCCATTGAGGAACTTCTTCGCTATGAGTCGGCCATAACAGGGATGCCACGGCTAGTCACAACGGAAACGAAATTCGGGGCTATGACCCTACAACCAGGAGATAAGCTTTTTGTGGCATACAACTCTGGCAGTCGCGACAGAACCAAGTTCGAGAATCCGGATGAAATCAACATCGATAGACGTTACAAGACGCAGCATCTCGGCTTTGGGCGTGGCGTCCACGCTTGCTTAGGAGCCCCCTTTGCACGTCTCCTCCTGAGGACGGAACTCAAGGTCCTCAGAGAGCGACTTCCTCAGCTTAAACTAGAGACACCGTACGAAGAGATCAAATACAGCGAAGTCCATGAAGGGCGTGGCCCAGAAGCCGTTCGGATCTCTTGGGACCCTCCAACTCACCATGACATTGGCAGTCATGTTCAGAGCAATTCGGCAACAAAGATGGCAGCCAGGCCATACGACCAGAAGATGGCCGTCAGCGAAATATGTCAGGTCGCAAAAGACGTGATGCAGATAACACTGCGACCCATCGCTGGTTCTGGGACACCGCGTTGGGCGCCTGGAGCCCACATTGACGTCAAAGCAGGCCCATTTGGCTTTCGACAATACTCCATCTGCTCAAGCCCAGATGACCGAGATAGTCTGGCATTTGCTGTGTTGAAGACAAACGATACCGGAGCTTCTCACTTCATACATAACAGTGTGAAACAAAATCTTGAACTTACTGTTCGCGGACCAAGGAACAACTTTTCCTTCGAGCCAGGCTCTCGAAGAACTGTATTCGTTGCCGGAGGCATTGGAATCACCCCTATCAAGCCAATGGCAGCGGAAGCAAAAGCCAGAGGGGAAGACTACACAATCATCTATCTCGGCCGTAAGCGCGATTCAATGGCGTTTGTGGAAGCAATGCCTGGAAAGCATGCGAATCGCTGCATCACGTGGGTAACTGAAGAACATCGTGGACAACGATTCGATGTTAGCAGGTACATTCGATCGCTGGATACGGAAGGCCTTCGGATTTACTGTTGCGGCCCTGAGGCTCTTCTTCAAGACGTTGAAAAGAGCCTGAACGATGCACCACCGGATGTTTTGCGACTGGAACGATTTGCGGTGTCTTCGGACTCTGGCACAGAAAACACAGCGTTTGATGTTGTCCTCGGCCGGAGCGGCAAGGTCCTGCGAGTTCCTGAGGATAAGTCAATCCTAGATGTCATCAATGATGCAGGAGCTGGAGTAATGTCCACCTGTAACAAGGGCTTGTGCGGAACTTGTGAGGTTAGGGTCTTAGATGGGCTGCCCGAACACAGGGACGCAGTCCTCACACCTGCTGAAAGAGCTGAAGGAACCGCAATCATGACTTGCGTGTCAAGATGTCGTGGAAGCAAACTTGTACTGGATCTCTGGTGAAGTAGCTGATCACATCAGGATAGGACGTCCTCTCATTTCATATAATCCGAATGTATTCAGGAAGAAAACGGAGACATACTGTGCGGTAAAAATAATAGTGTGTTCCAAACCTATGTATTAATGCCACGCCCGGACGCAGGGACTTTTCCCTTTTTCCATTCCATGCCAAATAGGCTTCTACGGAACCGATCAAGGTTCCAGAACATCGACTATAGACAAGACATCACTGTCTGTTAATCAAAGTTCAGATGTGTCACCAATACTCCAAATGTATTCGCCGAGGGGTATTGAGGCAACTCTGCGGGCGTGCTAAGTACACAGAACCACGCCTGATTCAAGGCGCTCCAACGTGACCCTTTCTACTCTCCCTCTCAGACATGTAAGCACGCCACTTGGGGTTGATAATGTACACAGGAATTCCAAGAAGGAAGATCACACCAAAGATCCCGGCAAGGACACCGAATGCAGTCTGATACCCGAACCTCTCGACCATTGGCGTCAACCCATAGGTCACGCCGAATGACACCACATTCTTCGTACCGACAACTACGACCAACGCAGGCCCGGGATGTTTGGGAGCTGCTTCGGAAGCAAATGTCGTGGAAATGATGATAATCGCTGTGAATGAGTACTGAAAGATGGTCCAGCCCATGTAAGGTCCCCACCAGGTCGTCCCTCCAGGAGCAGTGTAACCATACAGCAACAGCATACCGACGCCAACAATGGCAGGTGGTACCATTGTGACCAAGTGGTGCTCCGGAATGTGCACACCTCGGTTACAGCGGGCAAGCCACATCACGAATGGGTTGCCAATGAATGTGCAGAAAAGCATACCGAGCACAGCGCCAATAACGCCACCGACATTGATCAGGCCGATGTCAGCCGCTTGCCAGTGGTAGTTGTCCATCAACACAGTATTGTAAGTGAGACTCATGCCCACACCGCAACCCAAGGCGATGGAGGATGTGAGAACGGCGTAGATGATTCCAGGGGAGGACATTGATTCGGCCATGTGCTTCCAGCTCAGCAACATAACCTGAAGAGGCTGTGGATGGGGCGTAGACCAAGGCCTGATTCTCTGAGCATAGGTCTTACGCTCAATGGCACCAGCAGCGTTCCCAGCTCCCGGAGCTGTGAGTCCAGAGCGACTCATCTCTTCGAGATACGCTTGCGCTTCCGAGTCAGGGATGACGCGGGTGACACCAAACTCATCGGTAATAACAAGTTGACCGTCTAGAGACTCGGGCGGGCGGGTAAACTGGGTTTCGAAAGCAAATAAGAACGCAATCACCAGACCAACAGCCACAGTGATGACGAAAACCCAGTAATACCATCGCCAGCCCAGGTCGTGGTTGATGTATGATGACGCAAGGTTAATCGTTGATGAGATTGCATTCTGCGCCATCCAGTATAGACCGAATATCCGAGACCGTTCGTGGAGAAAGGTGACTTCGGTGAGCATGAGCGGGAGGAGTGATTCCGAGGCACCAGTAGCCAGGCCCTGGACGATGCGTGAGGCGAGATGTCCGTTGTAGCTATTCTGCAGAGCAGCTGCAATGGTGGCAATCAGAAGGATGACCATGAAGCCAAGGAAGACGGGGCGTCTGCCGTAGGCTAGCGAAAGGGGAAGAATGATGTAGTTTCCTGTGATTTGATGTCAGATCTATGACTGTCCCTTGCATAATGGTTCTGGACCTTTTGGAGGAATAATCGAGACAACTTACCAAGGCCTATGCACAGAGTTGGGATCGTAATAAGAAGAACAATCTCGTCTGATGAGTATCCTTGAGGGGTGTACATCTGGAAGAAGACACTCAGGATGGCACCGAGTCCGCTTGCAATCGACAGGCCCATACTGGAGAACCAACAACAGCAGAACACCAGACCGTACTTCTCCCATTTTCTGAAATTCAAAGGATCGTTCGGGTCCGAAGAGGGCACAGGAATCCGTCGAACTTCGCCATCCTTGTTTACAAGCAGGGCATTGCCATCGACGTGGGTATGGTTATCTTTGGGATCCGGGTTGAGGTCTTCGAGATGCTCGACGCGACTATCGATTTTGGCATCTTCTGGAATCGAAGCTGACGTGGCCATGCTGACGTTCCGGTAGTTATTGGTTTCTGGGATGATCGATCGAGTATTTTTGAGTCGTCAATTGGGCTAATTTCCAACTAAGAAATCTCAAATGTTGGCCTGCAACTCCTTACGACTGCGATTAACCGTCGCAACTGCAGGATACTGGTTGTCGCACACTCTTCGCTCGCTGTGAGGGAAAAAAAGCATATGATCGTTATTCAACATATTGAACAAAGCGGATCCAGTCTCTTTTCAATTTGATGAGCCGCTGCCACTTGATGGAGCGTTCGTCGGAAAATGGAGGTGAACACGGGCAACCCCCGTTCCCCGGTGGGGTTGAGTGAAGATCTACCCCGGACTTGGCACTAAACATTTCGGCTCGGTTGGTGAAGCACGATGCTATTCGGCTCGGAATCTGCTCAAACAATCAGGCCTAGTGCTAAGTGTATTACTCTAGAACCGAAGATGCGGCTCTTCCAAAGACTTCAAATTGAACGGCCAGCTATCTGTTCGATTATCGCAGAAACCTTGCAATGCAGTTCTCACGCCTCCTGATTTTGGAGCGTTCTCGCCGGACTTTTGCTGCAACTTGTTAGACAGTGGCGTCCCCTCAGAATTTGCCGTGTATGGCTGAAGCGACTCCAGTCTACCACGCGCGGAATCGAGTCAGAAGACTCGTAAGAAAATGAATCTACAAAATTTGCAAAATTAGGCTGCGAGCCGGGAAAAGCAAAGTTCAAGCCGAAGCATGCAAGTCGCGTCGTACAGGCACAGTAAGGCTTTCAATGTGGAACGCTCCATAGCTAGCAGAGTCGGTGAACACGCAAGCAGGGTGAGACAAGGCGTCTCGATATGCTATGAAAATTCTTTCGCTCGATCACAGAGCCGCATCGTATACATGCCACTGGTCTCCAACCCTGTAGCCAGTAGGAAAAGGGTCCTCGGGATCCAACACAACCTGCTTGTAGCTTGTAATCCAAGCTCTTCCCTTGACAGTTGGAATGATAGCATCTCGATCGCCAACCCTGACGGTTTCCTTAATGCGGCACTCAAAAGCCGTGTCAATGACACTAGTATGCTTGAAGTCCTCACCGACGGCAAGCTGCCCCTTAGCATGAAGCAATGCCATGCGGGCGCAGGTGCCTGTTCCGCAAGGACTTCGATCCAGTCGGCCAGGCGAGACAACGACAGTGTTCTTGGCAACCTTCCCACCGACGCCGTCTTGCAGAGGCTCGGTGAATGAAAGCACCGACACTCCAGCGATTTCCGGGTTCTCAGGGTGACGGGGAGTATAAATAGAACGAATGGTCTGCTTGATCCTTTCGCCAAGCTCAACAAGCTTTGCTGCCTGCTTGGGCTCGATACTAAGGCCAATTGACGCGGCGTCAACGATGGCATACCACATGCCGCCCCACACGATGTCCGCGGAAACAGTCCCGATTCCGGGGACTTCAACGCGCAGGTCGAGCTTGTCGACGAACGCGGGAACATTGTCAAACGCCACATTCTTGCATTTGCCGTCTCGGCACTCCGCGGTGACACCGACCAGCCCTGCCGCCGTGTCGAGGGAGAATTTGGTCAGCGGCTCCTGCATGGGGATCATCCCTGTTTCCAATAGAACGGTCGCGGTGCAGATTGTGTTTGAACCGGACATTGGCGCATACTCCTCACTCTCCATAATTAAGAATCCCGCAGCGGCTTCTGGGTTGCATGGCGGCAGGATCAAGTTCGTATTTTTCGGTGACCGTCCCCGGGGCTCGTTCAGAAGCAGTTGTCGAAGGTCGTCCTTATGCGTCAAAAAGTGTTGAAGTTTGTGCCACATGGTTGGCGCTGGCACGTCCAAAACTCCGCCAGTAATGACGTCGCCAACCTCTCCCTCAGCGTGACATCCGACCACTGTGATGGTGCGTGTAGATCGCATGGCTGTGACTGTTCAGGCTGTCGATAACCTGGCTGTGGTTGGTTGCAGAATACGAAATGACGCTCTACTACAGTTGAATAGAGGAACTCTGAAGCCACGATGAATTGTCTATGTACCTTTTAAGAAGGTTTTAAGCAACTCCAGTAACCGGCGTTTATACCGGGAAATCGGACCCCACTCCGACTCTTTTGAACCCCCGACGGATGGTGTCGCCGAAGCCTGCCCGTTATCTCGGAATCCACCTAATTACCCCGCATCAAATGAGTGATAACCGTGTAAACCTACCATATCCAATTGTGCTTGGGAATCATCTACAAGTAAAGCGAAAGAGCTTATGAATAGGAGGACGCGTCACGAGTAACTAAACACAATGACACATGGCAGAGTAGCTAGCTAGCCTGGCGACAGTAACCCACGCTGGAGGCCGAACACATCAAAGCTTTTGTCAAGGTCAGGAGAGTGAACATTAGACGGTCGCAGTTGATTCCATTGCATGTCTTGCTAATAATTTGGAGTCGCTTCCGTAAATCAAACCCGCCAACCCACGAGAGAAGTTAGAGACGTGATCCAGCAGATCACATTTTACATTTATTAAGTGGCAGCCTAATTTTGCATCAGCCTGAGACCGGCGATTAGGGGCACGTCGACGAGAAAACTCGCATTTCGAACCAACCAAATGGCGTGTTTTGACGTCGTAGGGCTGAGAGATCACATTAAGACGGCGCTAGTAAACGAAATGATGCATCTCGAACCATCAGAGATGTTGAGGCGTACACCTAATCAGGCGGAATCGGTTGTTCTGATCGGATGACTTTCTGTAGCTAGGGCAGTTCAGCTCCATGCCGAGGCCTTTTGGCCTGTCTCTCGCAAGCATCGCCTTGCCGATCTTTTCTGGGCGCCGCTGGCGTGTCCTTGTCTTCTCCTCAAGCTGTGGCTGCGCTGTGGGTGTACAGGGATGCGGGGGCTCTAGAAGGACATGGCTTCCAGCGGGAACCACCCGTCATCCCTTCCACGTGCATACTTTTTGAGATAGCCGTCACAAATTGACGTTGGATTACGGCGTGGGAGCGATAAACCGTTGTCCCGGAGCCACTGATATGCATCCGGAATGCGTCGGATGTAGACCCAATTGCGGTGCTCATGTCATCTTTAGGGGTCGGCAATGCCTTCAGGGAGATGATGCAGGCAGCCGAGACGTGGCATACTTCCAGTCTACCAGGCTAATTACCATCCACGGGCGCCCGCGGAGCACCATGCATTGCGGCGTATTGGTGAGAGAGAATTGCAGTGAAAACCTGTTTTTGTGAAGTCGAATGCACTTCTGCCTGTGCCTCATCGCTTGGAGGATTTCTGCAGTCGAATCGTCTTCAGCTGTATCTGGTCTTTGCTCGATCGTATCCAATAGCAGCCCTGAGATACCAGTTTGTGGCTTTGCATTTGTATGTGAGTGGAATTGGCACAAAAAACCACGATGCCAGGATACCATCCTCCGGGAAGTATGAGTTCTCCGACAAACAAGGCCAATCAACCCTGTCCCCTCGCAGCGGGCCGATGTCAAGGCTTTGCCAGGGCAGTGAAGTCATCGGCTGAGCATACTGGGGCCATCTCCGTCGGCCTTTCTGATTTGATGTTCCTCGAGACAATGGCCCCCAACATGATGCCGTCCCCGCCGTGGCTGCATTTCCTAGGGCTGATTGGAGATGGATCGGCGGTTACCCATCCTGCACCTGCACGGGGCGGAGTACAGAAGGTCACCCAAGCAAGACATACAGTTTGTTCTAGCCCGATTAGGGGAAAATAAGTACACAGGGACTTGGAGGCTGACATCTTTGCGGCCAACAAGGCATCCAGCAGTCGTGGAGTAAAGGCTGTATAAGAATCCCCAAGCCGAAGCGGACCTGATCCCGAGCCCTCCATACTCAATACCGCCCTTCCTTGTTCCGTTTACTTCGTCTTGCTCGATCTGGAAACGTCTGTCCGCCACCTATCACCCACATCGGAGGTTACTTGCAGCTTTACGGCCCAACCCGCGCACCGGCTCGCGCCAACGAAGCTCTGATCAGCTCGACGTTTACCCAAACACTAGTAATGACATCTCCAATAACCATGTCAAGCTCGCCTGACTCTTCATCGTCACCGGAGGCCCCAGAGCGACGCCGTTGCTGGGAATGCCTTCGTCGACGATTAGTCTGTGATGCAACACGGCCTGTGTGCAACAAGTGCCGGGTTGCGGGCATCGTGTGTCCAGGGTACGATGACAAGAAACCGCTGACTTGGCTCGCTCCTGGCAAGGTAACTTGTCGTACACGGCGCAAGAAGAGTACCGCCGTCAGCATCAAACCAACAACCAAACCGAAGACCCCGAGGCCGGCCAAGCAGCCCAAACACAAGCATTTTGAAGTCGGAACGGATATTTTCAATGGTATCGAATGTATTTTCCATGCTCCGTTAAGAACGGATGTTTGTGACGTGTATGATGCTGTACAGTACTGTGAGTCTCCAACGGCGGTCCCCTAAGAGTCGAATTGACAATGCAATCAAATTGGATTGATCTCTCAAGACGAAACTAATATGAAACTTAGACAACGCCGTTTTCTACCCTCACACTGCGGCTGGTCACAGGGATGGCATAGCGAACGTCTTCGTAGACGCGATACCCATCAACATTGTCCGTTTCCTACCAAAGGCCATTGCGCACAATATGGTTTCCATCGTCTTCCAACATAAGATGTGTGTACAAACACAGTGGAAACCCGACTGTCCCTCCCTCAAACATGCACAAGCCCGTTTGCACCACCATCGAGGGCTTGCAATTCGTGCTCTAAACGAAGATATCGCCAATGAAAAGACTCAGAGCAGCGATGTTGTACTGACAGGTGTTATTCTCCTGCTCCAGTCAGAAGTACGTTACATTTGGCTATGTGTTTCTCCGCCACTTATGTTAAGTGATTTGCCCTACAGATTCAGTCGTGCCTTTCGCCAAACTGGAGATACCATGTCAACGGCCTCCTGGCAATGCTTGCTTGCCGTGGGGGTGCCATAGGGTGGATGAGAGAGGTTCCAATGCTCAAGGGAATCCTTCTATCTTTTCTGATGTATGTGGTTGATCAAACCACAGTATTCTGCCATTGGAAAGCATGAGCTCACGAGTCTTATAGAACTGCCACTTTCGCAAACACTACCAGCCCGTCCCACGATCACGTCAGAATAGCGTCGCACGAAGGGCTACTTATGCTTACCGATGAGCTGTATCCACTCGGTCTACATCCCAATATGCCCTGCCCGATGGCCCTGTTCGAGGAAATCATTCGCATTAACCACGTTCGGGATGGTGTCTCCAACGGCTTCATGAGCAAGGATACTGCGAGGTCTATCGCAGATAACATCGTGAAGAATATCGAAGCCTTTGACGCCCGAACGTGGGATGGATTCTATGCGCAGCATGAACACAATGAGCTGATTGGGCTCATGTTTCAATCTGCAGTGGCAGTCTTCTGCCTGTCAGCCCTGAAGAGTATCTTAGTCTTGCAGTCGTCAAGTCGCTTGAGAGCTCATAGCGACCGTCTATACTCCTTTTTGGAAGAAGGGAAGAAGCATCCAGTGCTTCAGAAGTCGGTCCAGTGGCCATTGATTGTGGCTGGAGTCGAGGCTGGAGCCCGAGTGGATAAGCGAGGATTGGTTGGTGAACTTTTCCTGGAGCAGAGCAAAGATGTTGGTACACCGTTACCAATGCATGCGAAGGGGGTGATACGAAATTTTTGGGATGGCGATCTTACAACCTGGGACGCTTGTTTCGACAAACCATACGCTTTTGTGTCATAGAGACCAATTGCATGCATTATTGGCAGCTGCAAGTTTAGTCTAGCCCTGAAGAGTTTGAATATCCACCAGGTAAAAGTTCAATCTACGACAGAATTTGTCAATGAATTATTCTCGCTGTGGTGTGTACAAGATATAGACCTGGAGGTCACTCTGGAGTGTTTTCTGTCGCAAACATGTTTGGTTGGTTGCTTTGGCAAACTTCAACATCAAAGACCAGAAGATTATTAATCAAGAGGCGAGATCAAAGCGGAAGATGGATAGATCCTTGATTTCTTGTGGCGTGCGTTTCTTACCCGCAAGACTTAAAAGCCATGAGCTTACGAACTGTCAAGCTTAATTGCCAGGAAGCCAACAAAACGATTGTTTATATTCCAAGAGATGCACGCACTAAAATAACAAATCGTCTAGCTACAAAAGACTTGTGGAGTTGAACTTGAAAAGCGTCCGGTGCCATGAAGACTAGATCAATTCTATTTGTTTCTTACTCCGATTCGAAGCCAATCTGGGGCAGCAACTGGTTCCACGACACCATCACATCTGTGACGTTTTTGAACGGTGTAACGTCGACATCGCATACGGTGTCACGGTCCGGAAGTTCTCCCTGATCGAAGTACTTCTGCATGGCCTTTGCAGTGCAAACTGACGGCTGAGCTCTCCAACCATGCTGTTCAAAACACATCAGCGATTCTCTCCTGTGACTAAAGTAAGATCATGAGTCAACGGGGATGAAAACTTACCCCATAGCCGTTGGATTTCAACAGAACGCTACCATCAAAGCTTGCAGTAACATTTTCTGCCGACAGGTGTGAGGTTGACCCATCTAAAGAGTGGGTGAAGACGAGTATTGGGTTCTTAGTTTTGATATTGTTGAAGCCCCCCTCGTACCTTTCCTTGGGCTTGATTTTCCACTGAGCACACTTCATTTGGCTTTTGATGAGGACAAGTCCAGTCGTACGGCTGGCATTCGTGATCTCGTCGATTCCTGTTTGGAAGACTTGCAAGTCATCGGTGCGAAATCCAGCGTCGGCGCATTGGATGCCGGTTGCGGAGTCATCCCCGCCACCACCAGCATCCTCGCCGGTGCCATCAGTCTCACCACCAGAAAGCTGGAAGTATCCAAGCGCGATGCCGGTTTCGTTTCTTGTAAACAAATCATTGAGCCAAACTGTGAGCAAAGGCCAGGTCGTCGGGTCGTTGAGCTGTGGCCGAACTGCCGTGGCTATCCTTGTCCTGTCGATGACATATGAACCCGCGAGGATGGGGCGCAGCCTTGCCTCTTCCATGACCGAAAAGAATTCATCACGGAGGCTTTCCACTGTCTGATTGCCACCAGAAAATGGGCAGGTATCTCCAGAATTGAGACAGGTCTGAAATATGGCGTCGAGACTGGGATCGGCATCCATGGCCCATTCAGAATTCCTGATAAAAGTGTATCAGTATCGTATCGTAATCTTAGAATCGAGAAAATGACATACAGGCCGTAGTACCATTCGTGTGGGTTCACGACTCCATCAAGGACAACTTTGTCCATTCGTTCAGGGAACATAGCAGCCACGGTTGCGCCCAGAATTGTCCCGTAAGAAGTTCCTATTGCCGTAATGTTAGCTCCGACGACAGTCTTTGCGACATCAAGTCTTGTGAATGGAAGTATCCTACCCCAATATCTCAGCATTCCGTCATCATCAAGAGCGTCCACGATTTGCATCGCATCTCTAGCGGTATACGCTGTTGAAATGCGGCTCCCAATTTCGCTAGTTGCGGGATCAAGAGCACACGTGTTTGCCTCGAGCCCGGCATACGCCCAATGCATTCCAATCATCGCTGGGTCTGAGTTATTTCCCATGGGACCGGGCGCCACATTGATAAGGAGCCTTGTAGCACTATCCGGATAACACGAAAATGTCGTGGTATTTCCGACGCCTCTAATATGCGCCTTTAGTCACAGGTACTTGAAATGGGTTGCCAACAAGAATAATAAGAGACATAGGTGCGGACGTTTCTTACCTTGGGTCCCAGGCAATGAGATCATGATTTCCTCCAGTGGTCCTTGGAAATCGTCAATAATCACATCAACAAATTGGCTCTCGATTCCTTACGCTTGGAGAAGATAGCTCCGCGAAGCTAGGCGTTCTCGTGCGGTAACTCCAGGTCCACCAAAATTGAACAGGATGCTCCCCTTCGAGGGCCCCTTGATGGCAGGGACTTTGAGCAATTCGAGCTGAAAGGTTTCGCTTGAATTGGAACTGGAGTAGTCCAATGGGACAGTCAAATTTCCGCATTGAACGGGGGCTTTGCTATTCTGGCTCGGCAGCCAGTCTGGACAAGATCCCCATTCGACTGATCCGCTTCGGGCGTGATTCAATGCAGAGGCCGAGGCAGGAGCTGCTGCGGCCAAAAGCATAGTGAAAAGGGCGTTTTCCGGAAACATTGTAAGGTTGATGGGCGGTTAATGAAGATGAAGTGTCAGGTTGTAGTGCGGTGTCGAGTTCACCAAAAAAACTGGGTGCGTATGATTGTCACATATATATCTACTTGATACTGTTTTCTCCCGTTTCTTACTTGGGCTGAACAAGACTGCATGTCGTCACAGCTGAACAGGTCTGCCTAGCCGCGAGATGTATATGAGCCAAAAACAGAAATCACTTGGGGAGTCGTGGCTGATCATAGGCATGAAAATGGAAGGCAGCTTGGGAGACTGATTGGCGGATGCATCGGCGCCTGCTCCACAATCTTCATTTTTTAGCGAATGTGTACACCTTATTTCCTCTTTGGGGAAATATGAGCCACTTGGCTAGCGGCATGTCATCTCTGGAATGACCAAATGCCAAGCTACTAACGGACCATGTCAAATGAAGTTGCAGATTCCAGGAGGCAGTGTTCTGTGATAGAGGATGAATTCTTTTTCCCTTCTAACTTTTCTTTCGCAGTTTGCCGCCTGGAGGCGCACATAATCGTGCCGTATGAGAGACTTCGGTTGGCACCTCGCAGAACCGCGCTTATTACGCTGATGTGAGCACGATGCAGGCACAGAGAGAATAGTGATTTTAACTTGTACCAAGGCAGAGTCGCTCCGGAGCACCAGAAGCTGTTCTGCTTATAGTCTCAATGGCGTACCATGTCTTGCGCGCGTTATGGTAGTTCCATTTCACAGTGTTATCGGCCCAGTCGTTTGCGGGGCTCGGCCCGTAGCCAAATAGGGTCGGGGCCGAGTGGGGCCGCCACGGCACCGGACAAGACTGAATCCAATGACCAAGAAATAGTTTAGTAGTGACCCTTACCTCCGGGAATTCATATCAGAATATTACCACATCTCTAAAATGGGACTACAACTCTGTACTTCATGCATTGGTTTTCTTCCGTCTTCTTCCTCCGCAATAGTCTCTCCTTCACATGCAATACAACTACCGAAGGCTGTTCGCTTAATCGGTTCTTGCTACGTCGACTACGTATATCTGGTCGATCTCGCCTTTTGCGATACCGAGCCTACACTGAATCGCGTACGTTTGAAGATATTAAAGCAGGTCCTGAAGGCCTCGGGTATTCCCTTGCCAGGGCGCTCATAGATATCCCGCCCACGACCAACCACTGAACGGATAAGTTGCTACGCATTAATCTTTATTCACAAGGCAACACGATGTGCCTAGTACAAAGGTTTACTAGTAGCGACTAGCTTCCGAAATTCAAAGTGATACGACACACGGACATCATTCGCATTTGGCGTGAACTTTATCCGATCTAAGCGCTTTATTGATTGGCGGGAACTCTGATCGCCATGTGCCGTGTCTCTTCGCGCTAATCACGGCAAGCCTAGATCGACTTCCGATCTTTGTTGCCTGAGGGATACCCATGCTTCCGTGGTTTCCGCGGAGGGGTCGAGAAGCAATTGACGGACCTCAAAACCGCAGCCTCATCACTGGGCAGCAAAAATCTGCGTCGTTACCTTCCAGAAGCTGACCTAGAGGTTCAACTAGTGCTCATCTTGACAGTCTCGTTTCCATTTGAATAATTCGGGGCCATCGGGGCGATAGTGATCTCGATAATGCTCGTTACCGGCCTTGAACCGGGGGTGTCTTCCCTGGCATCCCCCGATTTACTTCAGCTTTTCCCTGAGTGCGCGGTAAGGTTACGTTTTGCTTACATTGTCTGCCCACTGGCGGCTGGTAGTAGACTATGCAACCAGGACCTAAGTCTTTCCATTCAACCTAATGCTAAGTTTACTAGGGTCGCTGCATATCCAATGCCATGGCTTCATCGCCAGTGTCAGGGTCTTCAATTTCATTCCTTTGCGCTGATTCGCAGTTTTACAGTGCTGCTGGATGCGCATTTCAAAACTGCACTGTAATCAATGGCTTGAGTGAGTGCCTAGTCCAAGAAATCGTATCATTTCAATTTGACGCCGAATGGCTGTAACTGTCTAAATCCATCAACTAGAATACTAACGCAAATGTGTTAGAAACGCAAAGAATCCTCTCTGGTATTTGTGGTTTACCAGTTCGCGATAAGGGTACCTCTGCTACTGCGAGCGCTGTGGCTGGCGCGCTTGTCGCCATCGTCAGCGTGGGCATCCGCGAATATTCGCAGCTCTCCCGGTTCGATTATAGCATAGGGCTTGATGACTACGCTCTGATATTTACCATGGTTTGTTGTTTCTGACAGTGCCATCAAGCTCATATTGCTAACTGCCACGTTTTGTGGTAGGCAATGTCTGTGCCTATGAGCATCCTAGTCGTCATTAGTAAGTATTCTTGTTTTCGGTTTTGCCGCTCTCAACTAATAGGCCTTCCTAGCTGTTCAGTCAGGACTCGGGAAAGATATATACACACTTACGCCGGATCAGATCAATGAGTTTTTCAAAGTTGGTAAAGGCCTTTCGCAAGCCCTCTCAACTGCTAATTTGCGGTAGCTCTTCTACATAAGTGAACACTTCTACGCGTTCACAGTCCTGTTTGCCAAAACAAACTTCCTCTTCTTCTACCTTCGTCTTTTCTCCGATGAACGGTTCCGAAAACTTACTTGGGGTGTCATTTGGGCTTGCATCGCCTCAGCACTTTCTTTCTTCGTCGCCACCATGTTTCAATGCTGGCCAATCAGCTACACTTGGACTCGGTGGGACGGGGAACACCATGGTCGCTGCCACGATATCAACCTCCAGACTTGGGCCCACGCCAGCGTCAACATCGCATTGGATGTAATCGTGGTTAGCATGCCGATCTCCCAAATATTGAGGTTGAATTGGCGGTGGAGGCAAAAAATTGGCGCCAGAATGATGTTCGCAGTCGCACTTTTGTAAGTTCAGATGATGCAATTCTTGCTGCACAGAATAATGACTGACCTTGTGCAGAATCACTCTCGTGTCTGTGCTTCGGCTTAGCACAATCAACGACTTCATGAAAACATCTAATCCCACTTGTGAGTCTCAAGTTCGATCAAGAACCTCTCATTCGATACTCATGCCAGGACTTTAGGGGACATCGTTCCAATTTCGAACTGGTCGTTTGTTGAATTAAACGGCTTCATCTTCTGCTCCTGCATGCCCGCTTTCCGAGATTACTTCCGACGAATGTTCCGGCGCAGGAGACAAACGATGGTGGAACCCGCGTTTCCCAATGGAGGCGCCATGCGGACCATTGGAAATGCCACCATTCGACGACGCAATAGACTTCATGAGCTTGTGTCTATTGACAGCGATGATAATGAGCCTGAGCACCAACTGGAGGACATTGGACATAGAGATCCAGCGGTTGGGCGACTGTCCACTGGCGTTGCTACCCCTGTTTCTACCCCTAATGCTCGTTCCGATGAAGCAATCCCGGCTCAAAATGGGGCTTCATCGGATGAGATCACGGCTATTCCATCACGACCTGAAGAGATGGATTTGGCGGATCTGAAGCATCTCGCAACGTTAGTGTCTGCCGGTGGAGGAGAGTAGCATGGGTGATCAATATGAAGTTGTCGCACATTTAAATTTCTTGCCTCTTTTCACGTGCGTTGCAGTGTTCTTGGCGTCTGACAAATGCCGCAATAAAATGCATATTTCAGCAGCAACAGCAAGATACGATGACGTTGGGTCGAACTTCTGTCATTTCGCAGCTCACCAGCACAGCCTAGAGATTTCCGTTGGGCTTTCCTCTCTGCGCAGCCATAGTTTGTCGGAGGTCTTGGCGAACCGTGGTCGCTTTTAAGGGCTGATGGGCTTCGGTTGGCGGGCCTTGGCCTGGGACACATACCTTCGGGATAAGTTGGTCAGCTTACATCGTTTAATCCGAAAGTAGGCCAGCCACCGCTAGTGCTTTGACAGCCATGGTCCGTAACTCCGATATCAACTGACTGCGCCCAACCTCAAGTCCGACCACCAGCGCATGTTGGTCTTGGAAGACAGACTACAGCGATGAAGGATTCATGAACCGGCCTGCTCAGCCACCTATATGCGCATTCGCTGAAGCATGCGTGATGAGGAAGATGATGATCAACACTTGGCAGAGGCCATTACGATGCCCCGAGTTTGCGCGTCTCACAGCAGAGACATTCATCTCAACGAAAGATCTTTGTTCAACAACAAAAGGTCTTCAAATGGTCTTGGCAGCAAATCATATATAAGACGTGTATTTCACCAGTTCGGCTCAACAATTGTGAATACCGCCCTACATCCAAAAACTGTACTTGAAACCCAATCTACGCACGATGATGAAGCTTTTCACTTTTGCCTCCATTCTACTCTTCAGTAGCAGCGTTACTGGAAGTCCGTTCAACAGTACAGCTTATGACTATGTCGTCGTAGGCTCAGGACCTGGAGGCGGCACTTTAGCGTAAGACTTCTCTTCCGTTTTCTTTTCTATTACTGACGCTTTCCAGCGCAAGCCTTGCTCGCGAGGGTCACTCTGTTTTCCTCATTGAGGCTGGAGGCAACATGGGTGACGACAATCTTCAACGGATCCCCGGATTGTGAGTGATTGATTGCTCAATATATACAGCTCTGTTCTCATGGTCTTCATTCACAGGGCGGATGTCAACTCGGAGCACCCGGAGATGTCTTGGCAGTTTTTTGTGTCTCACTACCAGAATGAGACTCAAGCTCGTCGCGATCGCTATTTCACCTACCGTCTTCCAAACGGCACTCTCTGGTACGGCATCGATGCTCCCGAGGATGCAACCCCGTAAGTCACGTACCGAGTCGAACCTAGGATGAACACTGATCATGGCTTTAGACTAGGCATATACTATCCCAGAGGAGCTACCGTCGGGGGCTCAGCTATAGCGAATGCCATGAATGTGGTTCTCCCTCCCGACAGTGACTGGAAGCATTTCGCGGAGGTTACAGGCGATGACTCCTGGGGCCCTGAAAACATGAGGTCGATGTTTGTCGAGCTTGAGAGAAACACCTACGTGCCTGAAGGGACCCCAGGCCACGGCTTTGACGGATATATTTCCGTAGGAAGCCCCTCACCTCTTGCCATAACCCCAAAGCTGACGGAAATCAGACGAACCGAAACAACATTTCATATGTAGTCGACCGCCCGGGTGTCCTCCGTGTGGTTCAAAATGCCATTTTCCAGACGGAGGGCATAGAAGCACCTGATTCCGAACAAGTCGTCGAGCTAATGGAGAGAGATCTTAATCGCCCTGACGCTGATCGCTACGAGATTCCTGGCGTGTATCAGATACCTTTACACGTTGACGAGAACCGCCGCAGAAGCAGCCCTTGGAACTACGTCGCCGAGACTTTGGCTTCGACCAGTGAAGATGGAAATTCACGATACCCTTTGACTTTGAGTACCCACAGCCTTGCGACACGAATTCTGACGAAGAAGTCCGGCCCTGGCTTGAAAGCCTATGGTGTGGAGTACATGGTTGGAGAAGGTCTTTATGAGGCCGACCAACGATATGACCCCTCGGTCGAGCCACAGTTACGTACTGTTACGGCCAGGAAAGAAGTGATCATCTCGGGTGGAGCATTCAACACTCCTCAGATTCTCAAGCTCAGTGGAATTGGACCTCGACAGGAGTTGGAGAAATTCGGCATCCCAGTCGTTGTTGAACTTCCTGCCGTTGTAAGCAATGGCTTCCCCGCAAGAAATCCCTTCACACTGACAGATTTACCAGGGGGAGTTTCTCCAGGATAACTACGAGGCAGGCATTAATGTTCAGTCCAACATAGCATGGGAGAACAGCCCCTTCGCAAGATGTACGCCTGATAGCCCGGAGACCGACCCCTGCCTTGCGCAATGGGAGGCCGGCTATGGCGCATATGGCGAGGCCGCTGCTCCCATCTTCATGCTGTATGGAACCAACCATTCCAGAAACGCAGACTCCGATCTCATCATGTTCGGTGCGGCCGGTGGCGTCTTTGATGGTCACTACCCTGGATTCAGCGAAATGACTTGGCCGCCAACATCCTTCTTCTGGGCTGTTGTGAAGATGCAAAACGGGAATCCGACAGGCACCGTGAGGCTTCGATCGTCCAACCCCCGAGAGACCCCAGAGATCAACTTCAACTTTTACCAGGAGGATTCCGAGGTTGATATCGCTGCTCTTTCCGAGGGTCTGGAACATCTCATGTCCATTATGAACGCCACTGGAGAGCCGTATCAGCCCTTCGAGGTGATTGACCCCCCGGCAGATCGTTCGCTTGAGCAGCACATCCGAGATCACACTTGGAGCCATCATGCCGCTGGCAGCTGCAGAATGGGCAAGGACAGCTCTGATAGCTGTGTCGATTCAAAGTTCCGAGTTCATGGTGTCGAGGGACTTAGGGTTGTCGATGGCTCAGTCTTCCCCAGAGTACCCGGCGGGTTCCCTGTTGGCGCAACATACGCTGCCAGTCGGAAGGCATTTCATGACATCGTCAGCAGTGGGGAAATTTGATGTCCTAATAGCCGGCTTTCATAATTGCATCTGAGTTTGGCCAAGTATAATAACTATAGGATGGTTTCAATTCCGATGCTGGTCTGGTTTTCTGTTCTTTTTGGTCAATAGTAAGTAAGGACACGGAAAGTTGAAGGAAGGTTGTCATAGTTCGAGACTCATATGAAATATTTGTTTTCTTTCCTAATATCCTAATCCCGGCTCTTACAATACGCCATATCCCACAGGCGAGGACCGCGATTGTGGAGTGCGACTCGGACATCCGGGGCTCTGTACGGTATTTTCCTTCCGCCCTTTCAGCGAAGTACGCCCCCTCGCAGCCGAGAACCATGGCGAATACAGCCGATGGGACGGGGGATAGACCTGAATGGTTTAAGGGCCTTGGCATCCATTCGCCCGGCGTGGATCACCGAGTAGCCGGTAAACGCCGCGCATGAGTCAAGACATTCCCGAATAGCAGTCACAAGTTGACGATTAAGGATCGGCGTTAGCAATCATTTAGTTCGGATTTGTCTATTCGGGCATTAGACTGAATTGAAATCCTTACAGCACAAGATTATCGTACGACCAGAATATGCTTGGATGTACTGTTTAGACAAAATGCTTGCCAACGTTCGGGGTCGCCAGGTTACATGCTGGCCGGGACGCCGTAAAGACGATTCGGCCCAATTTTCTTCTCAGTCACAACCATTGTTTTTCGGGCTTATTTCTAGGCCAAGGACACATCTCGGCAGAACGTCCTCGATGTCTTGAGACCTGAGGTAGCACATGACTAACACTAAAGGTCCAGTCTCCTGAATCTCTCATACCCTTTTGATTTCAAGTTACTTGGCTCAATTGTATCAGAATCTTTAATGGCGCATTTAAGCCATCTCAAAGGCCGAATCATCAAGTCTTTCCATAAGACAAGCTAAATGGCTTGGTTCATCATCCCACGAGATTGCGTGATAGCGGGGGGACATCGCGCATTGGTGGGGCCAATCCTGAAGAACGATCCAACATTGGAGTGACAAGAACTCAAGTCAATTGCGCCTTTCCAGCGCTTCATCACCAGCTCCACTGCAGATTAACAGAATGTGCGATAAAAGCCATGGGGCTGCAGCGACTGTTCTCAGATGGTCTGCATGTGGCTTCGTTGCTTTACACGCTCTGACTGGATGGTCCATAGTCGTTACATCCTAGCCCACTAGCAGACAGCGCGTATCACGATGGCCGACGAAAAGGAGATTCAGCCTTCGGTGAAAAGTCCCCCAAAGGGCAAGACCGTCAGCGAGAAGAACGCCGACGTCACGTTACGGCTCCTTGAGCAGCACGGCGATGATTTCGGTCCACTTACCCCCGAAGCGGAGAAGAAGCTGCGACGGAAGTTGTACTGGCGCATCATGACGCTTCTTTCTGCCATCAACATCATGCTTTTCGTAAGTTATATTCGCAATATGAAAGTTTGGTCGATACTGATTACGTCTTCCTTCTTTAGGTCGACAAGTCGACGCTGGGATACGCTGCCATCTTGGGTCTCTTTGAGGAAACCGGTATTAGGCAAGCGCAGTATAACAACCTGAACACCATGTTCTACGTCGGTATGGATACCTGCTCGAATCCAACGTAGTCAATGCTCACTTTTCGTAGGGTACTTAGCTTTCCAATGGCCTGGGCACTATCTGATGCAACGTTTGCCTTTTGGCAAATACGTTGCAATCACTGTCTTCATTTGGGCAGTGATCATCTTCCTGCACTGTGTCGCAACCCGATACGCTGGACTTGTGGTGATGAGACTCGCTCTCGGCGCTGCAGAAGCCGTAATCGTTCCCGCAATGGAAGTCACTATCGGCATGTTCTTCAACCGACATGAACAGTCTTTCCTACAGCCCGTGCTGTGGATCACCTGTCAAGCAGCGCCTATCCTGACTGGTTTCATCTCCTACGGCCTCCTATGGAGCACTGGCCCGGTCCTACCCTGGAAGCTTCTTCATGTCGTTACCGGCGGGCTGACGCTCATACTTGCCATCTGGGTGTGGATCGACTACCCCAGCAACCCCGCCGAGGCGCGCTTCCTCACTCTCGAAGAAAAGGTCCAGGTCATTCGCCGCGTACACAAAGCCCAGCAAAGCTCCATTGAGCAGAAGCATTTCAAGAAGGAGCAGTTCATCGAGACGATGAAGGATCCCGTGTCATGGCTCTTTGCGCTGCAGTCATTCACGCTAATGTACTCGAACAACCTCAACTACGGGCAGAAGAACCTCATCACCACCTCCATTGGCATCAAACCTCTTGGGTCTACACTCGTCGCCGCAGCAGGTGGTGCTTTTGGCGTGGCCTGTTGTATTGTTGCGACTTTGGCTTTGCGAAGATGGCCAAGTAATCTGGCTCTCCACGGAACAGTATGGTGTATGCCCGCTGTCGCCGGAGGTATCGCGATGATCACGGTCGACTGGGAGCAGAAGATCGGGCTCCTCGGGTGTCTTATCTTAGCAGCGTCGACTTATGGCGTCACATACATCATTGCCTTGGGCTGGACCACATCTACAGCGGCTGGGTACACCAAGAAGCTGACGCGCAATGTCATGTTTATGCTGGGATACAGCGTCGGAAATCTTGTGTCCCCACAGATCTGGATCCCCAGCAATGCGCCGAGGTTTTATGGTGCATGGGTATCTATGATCACGGTCAGCTGGGTAGGTACACCAGTCATCCTGTGGATCATCCGCTTCATCTTGGCGAGAAGGAATGCGGAGAGGAGGGAGTATATTACCTCTTTGAGTGATGATGAGCGCGAAGGCTACGTGGAGCAAGTGGATGAGAACGGAGAGGTTGTCAGGGTCAAGGTTGACATCGCAGTTTTGGACCTTACGGACCTGCAGAACAAACAGTTCATCTACCCCATCTAGTAGCTCGGCAAAGTTTGAGGCTGCAGTTGAAGGCCAAGGGGCAGTCCTGGTCGCCAGGCAGGAACGTCACACATGAGAGAACTCGTTCTATTCCGGTCGGCGGATGGAGTATGGCTATGTAATGTTTGCTAGGATGATAGTCAGCCCGGTCATAATAGTTAGCCCGGTTGTAATGAAAAACACATTACAGCTTGAGATATCTCTCGTGTTTGGTGTTGTTCACATCTGTTGGGAACACATAATGTGAACAAGGGAGCGGGCATTAGGAACACTCTAGACCCGGCGATAACCCGCTGGCAATTACCCCTGTATACTCGTATTTCCTACAGTGGCTGACCTCGTCACATGCGGAGCGGCTCGTCGCCAATCTTGAATGGTTTCAGCGAACGAGAGCGTCGCGATAGCCATCACTGGCGAGAGATGTCTACGAGTGGTGAGAGGGGGGGAGTGGCGGATGCAGGAGTTCCAGTGTGATGTGACGGAGGTATGACTGGAGAAGTTGGAAGTTGGCCTACTTGACCACTTAAATGAGAGACATTAGCGACGTCGATGAGGCTTATTTTCAAGGCGCCGTCGTCCCAACCATCCCCGTAGACGGCCAACTATCCGTGTGGGTGGGACGCTGTGTTTGGCAATTCGCGGCGCGTCATGCGCTAGCGAACTTTCCTATCTCAGAGTCGACTTGCCTTTCTGACATTCAAAAGGCAAGTCGGGAGCTAAGATTCTCCGTCAGCGACCAGAAAACTTGCTATTTTGGACCAGAAACCAAGGGAGGCTGGCCTTAAAGATGGGGAACTGACTCGGATAGGTAACTTTCCTATCCTGGACATCCGAGATTGGAAAGTCTTGATGCAGGATCGGTCGTAGAGCGCGGGGATTGCGGGGAGCATGTGGGGGTTGTCACTGCAGAACCATATCCCTTAGTTTCTGGACCCTGCTCGAGCCGCTGTCTGCGTCAATAAACGGCACTTTAATGATGGGATTGGAAAGTCGTTGACAGGATAGGCAAGTGATTACTTCAAATAGGCAACTTTTGGTCCTTCTGGACATCTTCGCCGGCGCTAGAAGTTCAGCCCAGAGTGCGGGATGTCGTGAATGTCCTTGGTAAACCCGCGGATTGCTACCTCGCCTCAACGACAGCACTGTGATACATCGAGGTAGTCCCGCGTAAGTTCATGCCCTTGTGGGGAAGTCAGCTGGCCTTGAGGTCGCTCTGGAATATCTATTTCAATGCTCGCCCTCTCTGACTAGAGTCGTCTTGTTCTCTTCCTCCTCAGCGCCCTTTGCCTTCTTTGCCTCCTCTCCCAAGCATAACACGGCGGAAATACTGTCTCAAGTGACCAAAAGGCCATCCACCATGTATTCCGTACTCGTGCCCGCGGTGGCATTGGTGCTTGCCGTCCTCTACCTCATCGTATATCCCGTCGTGGAGTACTTCCGCGACCCCAAGAGGCTTCGACGCTACCCTGCCTTCAAGCCCCTGGCTGGCCTCACAAACCTCGTCTTCATGCGAGAGGCCGCTCTCGGGTTTCGATCGAAGACTCTCTATGAGAAGCACAAGAAGCACCCTGTGCTACGCATCGGACCCAACTCCCTCTCATATGGAACCGTCGATGCCATCAAGGACATCTACGGCCATGGATCCAAGTGTCTTAAAGGGGAATTCTATGACACACTGTCCGGAACCCACTTCCATTTGGCAGATGTTGTCGACAAGGCCGAACATGCTCGAAAGCGCAAGGTCCTTTCGGCCGCGTACGCCCTCAAGAACCTGGAAAGTTGGGAGTACAAGGTCTCCGACAAGGCGGAACGATTCATCCGTGGCGCCGACAAGGCTTGCACTGAGCCATTGAAAGGTGGACTTCGTCCAGAGTCCGAAGATCTCACATTCGACTACCGTGCCTGGACCAACTTCTTCACCCTCGATGCTATTGCCGACATTGGCTTGAGCGAGCGTCTCGGGTTCCTCGATCAAGGCCATGATCTTGTTCGTGCTGAACGTATGGATGGCAGCATCCACGATGTAAACTTCCGAGCTTGTCTGCACTCCACAGCACTTGCCCAGTCCATCACGGTCTGGTCCGCAGAGTGGTACAAGTTCAACCAACGACTCACATCCTACCTGTCGCCAACCTTGCGGAAGTGGTGGGGCCTTAACAAGGGTTGGGACGGTATTGTCTATCACCGAGCTACCAAGCGCCTGAAGCGGTATCAGGCAGGCGAGAAGTTGTCCGACTTCTTTCAAGCTCTGATGGAAGATAAGAATGGAACTCCAAACGGTCTCGACTGGGGTGAAATCGTCGCCGAAGTGTCTATTATGATGAACGCAGGATCCGACACAACAGCAATCGCGATGAACAACGTCATGTATTGGTTGTTGAAGAACCCAAGATGCATGGCCAAGCTGCGGGAAGAAATCGACTCGGTTCTCGACCCGGATGAGATCGTGGCACCATACGACAAGATCAAACATCTGCCGTATCTGCGCGCCTGCTTAGACGAGTCCCTTCGTATCGTGCCGCCGACCACCTTCGGTTTGCCCCGTCGGACACCTACGGAGGGCGCTTACATTCTTGGGGACTTCATCCCGGGAGACACGACAGTCTCCATATCGGCATATATCGTTCACAGGGACCCCAAGATCTTCCCAGAGCCTGAGTCGTACATACCGGAAAGATGGCTTGGTGATAAGGGTAAAGATCTGCAGCCATACTTTGTCAGCTTCAGTGCGGGAGCGCGTGGCTGTATTGGTAGGAATATCAGCTACCTCGAACAGACTGTACTGCTCGCGAGTGTGTTGCACAGGTACGAGTTTGCCCTGCCATACCCCGAATGGGAGCCCGAACGGCGGGAAGCAATGAACTGTATGCCCAATGCAATGCCATTGAAGGTATGGCGCCGAGAGATCAAGTCGGAGGAATGATTTCGGTAACTATGCTATGGGTCATGACTGGAATGAGTAGACGACAAAGCGCATCAGCACGGATTAGACAAGTCGCACAAACAGTGCGACGAGGAGATATAGAAATTGACTTTATGATGGTGGAATTTGAAATATCGATGATTATAAATAGTATCTACAAGGAAAACATCAGTTCACATTCGTCCCATCTCTCAGCTTATGTGCTTTCCGCGTCGCGCGCCCGGGCATTGGCGTTCAACATGCCGGCAATGGGCATGGATGGGGGCGAGGGCGAGTCTTCTTCCCAGCCCCAAGCTTCTCTAAGTTGGGCTCGTCTGAAAGCAAGTCAGTCAGCAAAGCAGGTTCCGGGGGTGTAATGTAATCGGGCCGAACAGGGGGACTCACGCTGCGTGAGTAGGCCATCCTAGTCTTCTATCGGTTTTTAGGAGGATTCTATACAACTCCTCTTGTTCTTTTCGGTCGGTAAACCGGTCGCCTGCCATGGCAATAGCTATACACCCGTTGCTGTTGTCCGCATATTAGGACCTTGTTTTCGGAGCGGGCAGTGTGGGGCCAGCGGGAGACTTACACATGAGCCGGTGCGGTTCGTTCGTTTGCCTGAGTCCAAAGTATCGTTAGCCGCTAGTATCTTTGACGTAGAGCAGCTCAACTGAACGAGATAGACTTACCACTGCAAGCCCGCATATCACTCGGACAGTTTGCTTCAATTCTTCCTCCATCACTCGGAAAGCGGTTCCGAGCCTCGGAACCTTGGGATTGTGTGCAATCAACAACATGCGCGACAGATGATAATGTTGCAAACCGGTGACCGCTGCATCCGTAATGTACTGTTCCTCCGGAAGGAATAAACCGGCGTCCTGGTTCGCCCACATGGGTTGAAAGTACCATGGCTTTTCCCTCCACCAGTCTTCCAGCTCTTGCTTCAATTCGACGTACGACCTTCCATGGTGGTTTTCTTGGCCATAGCAGTGGCTAAGGCATGCCGCGCATATACCTATGACCTTGTTGGCGTAGTAGCAGTCCGCCGTAGTATCGTCAGCCTCTTTACGTTCCAATATCCTTCGGATGCTCGGAAAGAAGTTCGGGTGCACGGGCCGAGTGTGAACGAAAGCCATGTAAATCTCCTGCCGGAGTGCAAGCCAGAATGCTGACAGTCGAAGACTACTGAAGTCGGCGGCATTCGCCTGCGCGGCTAGAAGGATCCTGGTGCCCATCAAATGAGACTCGAGTGTCATGGAACCGATGTCGACCTCTTCCGTGAACCGAAGGATCACCACCGCTGCGAGTAAGTTGTCGTCAACTACTGCAGTCGATGAAGACAAGGCCGGAATCAATGACCGAAGGCATCTTTGGTGGTACCTATCCGCAATAACGGCATCAACGCCCATTGTACGACTCAGTCGCTTCGCCGCAGCCGAAAACATGGCATTGAGTAAGGTTGGACAATACACCGCACGTTTGGGGACTACTCTCGCAAAGTGTCTCCCGCTGTCGCACAAATCAAAAAGCGGCGCTAGGCTGTCGATGAAGTATCGGTACAAGAACGCCTCTTGGCGGTCTCGCAGAGGCCACAAAGGCGTTTCGACGTAGGTTCGGTCATGGGGGGTAAGAGTGTCATCGAAATTTGGTTCAATCGGTTCGAGGGCGAGATGGAAATTTGGGAAATCCAAGGTGATCTCGCTTCCGAGATCGAGGCGCTCCCATGGGATCACGATGGAAGAGGTAGTCGTATTTGCGTTCGAGCTTGGTGTTTCAGCATGAGCCTGTAGCTTTGGTGAGCGATTCACCGCCTCGGAAGTCGTCGAGTTTGTCGATCGTCTCGGTCTAGCTGGCCGTTGCCTTCTATCCGCACCGCGTAGATCGCTGTGAGAGCCTCGGGTGCTCAACCCCGAATTTCGGGAACTTAGCTCCGGCACCGGTGAGTTCGGTGCCGAGAGCAAAGCCAGGTAATCTGGAGAGTCAGCCCGGCGTGGCGCCCCAAGATACACATTGGTCTGGCCGTCACCTTCGCCGTTTGGGACGCTAGAGGCGTGAATGTTGACAACATCTTCTGTCTCGTCGACGAAGCTGAATGATCGATTCGTAGTCCGGACCCAAGTCTGATTGTTGGCAAAACTGTACTCGCTTCGGGCAGCCCCTGACCCTCTTTCCGGTTGAACACTTTTGCGGAAAGTCTCTGCTTTAGTTCAGTTGCTCTTTTTGATGCTGGTCACGTCAAAGACGCGGTTGGTCACGAACCTGGGGTTTAGCGTATGTCTGAACCGGACAGAATAGCCACGCGTACATTCAACGCCAGACTTGCGGCAATTTGAACATGTTGAACGATTGGAATCACCTAGCCTGGGTCAACAAGGCGCTGGACAATCAGGGGAATTTTCTCCGAGTCTGAGGAAGAGGGGGGCTTGGTAGTCATCCCCAGGAGGTCGGTTCAGATCCCAGTTGACTGGCACGGCGAGATGACAGATAATGCACATCGCACCATGGGCTCGCTTACATTTCAGATGTCTAGTGCGTGGAACCAATCAAAAAGTCAGATAACAAGGTCTTCAATAGCACGATAGACGCCAATGTCGAGTAACGTGGAGATGAAGGGCACATAGGCCTGAGGGTGTGGATGATGCGCGGCTAGGGAGGAAGAGGCGCAGGGACAATATCCATCCCACCGGTTGATATCCCACCGGAGACAACTCACCTTAGTCTGCAGATCTGACAACACAATAAATTGTCAGCAAACAGGTATTAAACGGCGTATTGAACCTCAACTGGCTCTTTCAGGCAATTATGCAAGAGATGTCATCCGGTCTCAGCGATAGGGCCGAGATACGCCACGAAAAAAACAAACTGCAGAGCGCGATGAAAAGGGAAAGAAAAGACAGAGAAGGAAAGACTCACATTACACGGATTCGTCCGAGTCTGGATACGGCTCATGTTCTGGACCCGCCGGGTACTAGAGGCATCCTGCATCTCTTCGATGCGCCGACGTGCGGATGCACCGTACTAAGGCAGTGACGTATGAGAGCCTGTGGGCAGAGATTTGCTACTGGAGGGCGACGTGGGATTCATGGGGGAGGAGCAGAGACACAGAGAGACGATTGTGTGTGGTAAACTGGTTTGGTGGTGGAGGCGAGACGTGTGTTGCGGCGGTGTCCGCCCGGCGAAGTCTGCGGTTCTTGGTTTATGACAACTTTGGAATTGCTCTGTTCGGAGGTGTTGTAGGGGCCGGTTGACTGAACCCGGCCCAAGCGGGAAAGTCTTGGGTAACAGGGCGAATTGGCGCGCGAATGTTGGGCCTTCGGGGGCCTCGTAGAAAAAAACAAGGGAGACGGTGGATTGAAAGGGGGTCAAATAGGAAACGCGAGGGAATTAGCACACAAGTTGCCTATTCCTTGTTAAAACGGCAACTTTCCCCCGCACGCCATGCATCACCGCTAAACCGACAAACTCCACCGGCGCCGCTCTAAGCTCGTGGCGATTAGCTGATGCATCGACCCCCGGGGGATGCATATGCGTCCCTGAACTTGGCCAAGAATCCCGCGGTTTATAAACTGTTGGCCGCCAAGTGACTGTCTAGGTAGGTTGTCAAAGATAAAGCCTGGGGAAATCTGGGGTGAAGGTGCCTGACTCGGCTCGGCTGGGCTGGGTATTGGAGAACTGCCGGCACGCTTGTCATTTGGGTTAGGTTCCCCGTGATTGGCTCGCAACATCGTATCGCCATCCTCTTCCCCGGATTTCATATCAGATGGATTGATGGCATTGTCTGATTTGGGTCATTATCACCGCGGACGATGTCTTGTTGGAGCGGTTTAAGGCAGCACGGCGGCCATGTTACCATTCAGCTGGGTTATCGATGTTCATCCAACGCGCGCTAAAAGGACGAAGACGTGCGAATGATCACTCTCAAGCGCAAAAATAATACCAGACTTCTTCAACGATATAAGATGTTGGTTTACCCCAGATTCTAACGGACATCTGCTCCATAGAAGCCTGCTATCACCAGATCTAAGAACCACCTTGTCTCATAGCCCACCCCAATCCGCCTTCTACTTCCTCTAAGGAAGATTGTTGTTAGTCTACCCCGGTATGCTGCAAGCCAAGATGGACACCAAAGACCCCAAGGAATCTGTCCAGCACAAGGAGTCTGTGCTGGACAAACTCTCCTCCGAAGGCCGACTTCCACTAGAGGAGCTTGACTCAATAGAACAAACCGAAACTGGCAAGTTCTCGTGGCTGGTGTCTATCACTGCGGCCATCGGAGGCATGCTCTTTGGTTATGACACCGGCATCATCTCTGCTGTATTGGTGTACATTAGTCAAGATCTTGGACACACCCTTAGCTCATCCGAGAAAGAGCTTATCACCTCGATCACCTCCGGCGGGGCCTTCATCGGTGCCATTTTTGCTGGAGCCACGGCGGATCACTTCGGACGAAAGATTGCCATCTATGTTGGCTGCTTCTTGTTCACCGCCGGGGCCATCCTCCAAGCCGCATCGTTCTCCCTGGCAGTTATGACAGTGGGCCGCCTTGTAGTCGGCTTCGGCGTTGGCTCTGCAGCTATGATCATCCCCATGTAAGCCTTGAAGTCCACCCTATGTAACAAACGAAGCGAAAACGAACGTAGACTAACCATGACTAGGTACATTGCAGAGTTATCTCCGGCCAAATACAGGGGCCGCATGATTGGTCTCGACAACATGTGCATCACGGGTGGACAGCTAGTAAGCTATGGCGTCGGTGCTGGCTTTGCGCACGTACAGGGCGGGTGGCGGTACATGGTTGGGGGAGGCGTGATTCCAGCCATAATCCTTGCCTGTTTGCTGCCTTTCTGCCCAGAGTCTCCCAGACAGCTCATCTATCACGGTAAGTCTGAGGAGGCCGAGAAAGTCATTCGAAAAATCTTCCCGAACGGGACGGAAGAGCAGGTCCAGATGAAGGTTCGACACATCACATTCCACGTCGAGGAAGCGAAGAATATGAACGCCGGCAAGTCACAGTGGTGGGTGCTCAAGCAGCTGTACGTGATTCCCGCAAACCTTCGCGCCTTGATCTCGGCCTGTGGTTTGATGGCCATCAGCCAACTAAGCGGCTTCAACTCCCTTATGTATTATTCCCCGCTCATCTTCTCTCTTGTGGGATTCGACAACCCCGTTGCCGTCGGAACCATCATCGCTGGAACCAACTTTATCTTCACTGTTGTCAATCTTTTGCTCGTTGACAGAGTCGGCCGGAGGAGAATTTTGCTCTGCACGGTGCAGTTCATGGGGCTATTCTTGATCGTTGCGGCGGTGGCTTTCAAATGGATTCCGATCAATCACGACTTATCCCTCGGAGAAGGAGCCACGGTGGGGCCACCGGCTATCATTGTCCTCGTGAGCATGGTGTTCTTTGTCGGCTTCTACTCGTCGGGTATCGGAAACACGGCGTGGCTAAGCAGTGAGTTCTTCCCGATGGAGGTGCGTGCCATGGGCACGATGATGCTTACAATGTCCTGCTGGGGCTCCAACATCATTGTGGCATCCACGTTCTTAACGCAAATGGAGAACACGACGCCCTCGGGTGCGTTTGGGTTCTATGCAGCTATCTGCGTGCTCGGATGGGTCTCCATTTACTTCTGCTACCCCGAGGTGAAGAACATGACGCTCGAGGACATCCGCGAGGTCTTCAACCACGGGTTCGGTGTGAAGCGCGCGAGACAGCTGCAGAGGCAGATGAAGGCCGACAGAGAGATGGGATTGGTTTCGACTGAAGATGTCAAGGTGTAGGTGGGTAGGGCTGAGAGAGTTCAGATTCGCAGACGTAAAGGAGAGTGATGGCGGGGCGAACCCGGCTTTCGCGTGTTTGGGGGAGGTTTGGAAGGCGCTGCGTAGAGCCCGACGGTGCTCTGTGTATAAGCTTAAAGCCGGACGAGATGCAAAGAAGATCATCCACTTACCGCTGCCACTGTCTTCAGACGAAATCGAACTGTATCGGTTTATCCTGGTGTTGCGAGAGAAACGACGAGAATTTGTGCGACAGCATGTGGGCTTTGGTGATGGCCTCGCAACGATATCGAGATGCTGTAGAGAGTTTCTCTGGAGGCAGGGAGATGATGGATAACTCAATAAGACGGGGGTGTTCCTCGGAATATTTACCTTCACCCCCACTATTCCGCTATCCCGTCCGGCCTCCGCTCGCCGTGCCCTCGCCGTCGACACGGGCTCGAGTTCGGGCTGGTGTACATGTCACTCCGAGAACCTATTTTCTGCGCTACGGGAGCTCTTCTGATGCACACAGACCATCTCATGGGACACCGCGTGCTATTAGTTCTCCAGTTAAACAGTCCTCATTCTGACGGCACGTAGCGTAAACACGCCCTGTGAGAGGTCGAAACAGGGACTGGCCTGGGTCGGCTCACAGGCGAGAATTACTTCCGCGGGAATGCTTACCACGTGTAGTTAGGCGACTTGCCTAATCAGGACGTTCGCGTCAAGACCGCCTGCTGCTTTCTAGGCGTACGTGCCTAGAGTGTAAGACGGCTTCTTACTCGAGTCCGACTGGGGACGAGGCTCTCCTGTAGTCATGAAGGTCAAAAAATTGACATTTCGTTTGTCGGGCATCTATTTGCCCGCATAAAATTCTACTTCGTGTTTGTGTTACGGGGCTGGAGACTACAATTTGGCGCTTCGTAGCCGACCGTCGCTTCGACAGACAAAGGACGCCAAACTATCTCGGGAGTGCCCGACGAGATTAGTGCCCAGTAGTTGAATCGCATCAGTCATGAAACGGCCCGTTCGAGAAGCCGGCGGAAGATGGTGGGGCGCGTATGTTGCAAAAGGCGCTACTAATGAGGCGGCGTTGAGGTGCTCTCTACAACTATGAGGAGCTGTTGATGCACAAGTCACCCGAAAGCTCAGCAAGAGATGGGTGCATCTAGCCATCTACAGATTTCTCGCAGTGAGATGATTCATTTAGCTTTTACAGTGTCTATGCTGCAATTGTGCAATAACATCGGTGTAGTAACTGCCTTCATCTGGAACAACATCGCCGTCGTTGGCCGGAGTACGGTTTCCCCTGATCCCCATTCCGGTTCGTCATCACCAGAGTGAAACCCCTGGCGTCCCTGGCAGCATCCAAATATCAGAACACACAGAACAGCAAACGCCGCTGACATCACCCGGCCTACATATTACAATTGTAGTTACTGTGATCAATCTACGACTAACGAGGCACTTAAAGCAGCGACTGGCACGATGTACTTGGGCGACCAGCAGATTTGAGACGAGATCGGATGAGGATCTTCTTTGCGAACTACATTTGAGCACGAGCATGTGGAGTCGTGTCGAATAAGGGCGCTGTAGCGCTGCGACTAAGGGCTGTTGACAACACTCGAACCTAATTACGGAACTCGGCTAACGTATTCGATACGAAAAATCACAGACGCAGCACAAAAGCCCAGCATCATCTTGAAAGTTACTATGTTTTGTACGACTCGAAACCTGGATAAAATGGCCCAGATTGGAAGCGATAGCCTGTCAACTGAGGATCCAATTAGTCTCAGCCTTTCGGCAACTATCCTGCTACCATTCCCTAAGGCAAGGGTGCGCGTCACGATTCACCAAGGGCGGTGTTCAGGAGAGCCGATTCGATTCGACGAATAAAGATGTGAAACGAAAGATGAAAAGTAGACGTGTAACAAACTTCAAGTAATCATCAAGTATCTGGGGTGGCCATCATGTGGTGCCAGATACCGGCGTCGAGAGCGGCTCGCAATTATCTGTCATTGGCTGAAGCGTAGAGGCTTTCCTCATACAATGCTGTATGGAAAGTAGGCGTATGGCTCGCTGGAGCATTAGTCGTGATGCAAAGTGCTACAGCTGAAACACCCTGAAAGATCTTACAGCTGATGGGTGCCACGACCCGAGATGCAGCGAGGGCCGAGCATCAGGTCCATGGTTGTTCGACGGAGGACTCCACGGTCCGGACGCGTTCAGCAACTCAGCAGCATCATGTAGTCAACGGGCTGTACGAATTACGACGTAGAAGCGGGATTGAGATACTCCTAGAATGCAAATCGCAAGCTTTCGCTTAAACTCTATGCCTACGAACGCTAGTCTGTAAAGTCCCCGACCATTGGCAGCCATCTAAACACCCGGTAATTCCGGGGACATCTGAACTCTCACGACTGTACAGGGTATGCTGTCCAGTGGCCGCCTTGGCTTTGACTAGGCAGCCGTCGCTTGGTGCAGGCGAAAGCTTGATCCATAAATAATTGATCTAGAAGCACGCGGCCGGAAAGTGGAGGTTGGGCTTGCCTAGCGATCGGCTCGGTCTCTAGGACCCGAAATGGTAAGAATCGACACTTGGGATGGTCCCCGACGGATGACGGAATAGCTGGCCCGATGTTGGCTGAGCTTCTGAAACTTGCCCGCAAATCCGACGAAAGATGATGGAGGTGAATGTTTTCTGCGGCTGACTTTACGAACGAACTGTGTCCCCGCGGAAGCCTGCCCCGGGTACTGATGGACCGTCGATTCGGTGTGATTCCTGATGGTGTGGCTCACCGATCACCGAGATGGGGCTATTGCGAGCACAGGTGACCCGATTCGGCTCCGGGTGAGTATCTCCACTCCTCTCGGTGTGCTTCGGTCGACAGCTCTTATCTCGGTCTGTTCACCGGTGATAAGGTAGCCGCCCCACTCAGACCGCCCAAAATTTTGACTTTTGGTACGGCTACTTGGGAACTTTTTCTGCCGCCAGTACATTGTACCCGTTATCCTCATCCAACTCCAACTTCTCACACATCAATTGCGACAGCAAATCACCGCAATCATGGCCGGATCCTCGACAACGAAAAGGAAAAATGACGGTCGCCTCGCGCCGCCGTCCAAGAAGCAAAAGAGACAATTCAAGAAGCAACCCGAGGCCGCTTCCGACGAGGAGGAGGGCTTCAACGCAGTCAACCTTCTCGACTCCGACGACGATGATATTATGAACGCAGCCGTCGATGACGGCGCCCCCTCAGACTCCGACTCCGCTAGCTCCGGCGATGACCGCCCGGCACCGAAGAAGCTGAAGAAGCCGACCAAGACGACAAAGTCCAAAAAGCCCAGGGACGCCCCTCGCGAAACGGACGAGTCCGAGTCGGATTCCGACGCAGCAGCGAGCGACAACGAGGACGGCGCACCGCGCAAGAAGAGCAGGCGCAACGATCCCTCCGCCTTCTCGACCTCTATCTCCAAGATTTTGTCCACCAAGCTCTCGAACGCGAAACGCGCGGATCCCGTTCTGGCTCGCAGTACCGAGGCCTTCGAGGCCTCCAAGGCGGCTGTCGATATCGCGCTTGAGGCTAAGGCGAAGAGGCAATTGAGAGCGCAGAAGAAGGAGGCGCAGTCTAAGGGTCGCGTGCGCGATGTGCTGGTTGCGGCGGAGGAGGAGGGCACCTCGACAGGAGAGATGTTGGAGGGTGAGAAGAGGCTGCGCAAGGTCGCGCAGAGAGGTGTGGTGAAGCTGTTCAACGCCGTGAGAGCGGCACAGGTTAAAGCTGTCGAGGCGGAGAAGAAGGCGCGCAAGGATGGTGTAATCGGTGTTGACCGGAGGGAGCAGAAGATCAACGACATGTCGAAGAAGGGATTCCTGGACCTGATTGCGTCTGGCGGCGGAGGACTGAAGAAGGGCGCACTGGAGGAGGCTTGATTTGGAGAGGAGGGTTTGAGACAACAAAAATATCATGCCGTTTGCCCGATCGCGGCGCGGCTTAATTTCTCGTTTCTGCAAAAATGTTCTTAGAGGAGTGATTTCATTCCCTCCCAACCATCCTTGATACCCGCCAAATGTCTAGCAAAAGCCCAAGCTTGATGTATCCGTCCCGAAACCGTGATGCCGTGCTTGCTTAAGAACACACCATACTTTTCCCCCGTGACCCCTCCTTTTTTGCGCGGTATTGTATAATATAGTACAGAGTGATTAAATGAAGTGGTATGCAGCGAACGCCCCCATGCTAAAAGTCCTTTTATGAGAAGTCGCTGGCCTGGAGGTTGCGGGTCATGGACGGCAGCTTGACCCTGAGACCGTCGAGCTCCTTTGTCATTGTGACTTGACATCCTAACCTGCTCGTCTCGGTCAGGCCGAATGCGAGGTCAAGCATGTCGTTCTCGTCATCCTCGGGCTCGGGCATCTTGTCGTAGTGCGCCTCGTCGACGACAATAACATGGCAGGTCGAGCAGGCGCAGGAGCCTCCACACGCACCTGATCCATCAAGTCAGCCCCTGCCTTCTAGCAAGTGAAAGATACAAGCACATACCCTCCATCTCCAAGTCATTATCTTGCGCGATGTCAAGGAGGTTGTCTCCTTCGCTGACGGCAATCTTGTACTCGTCGCCGTCCTTGTCGATGAAAGTGACATAGAGCCTGCGTATCTGTCAGCAAGAGCTCTCAAAACCTGTATGTGTCCATCCTTACTCTTCGCCCGCCTTGGGAGGGGTAATGTGGCCATGCGACTTGAAGGCCGAGACGGAGAAGCTGCGCGCCGAGGGCAATTGAAGCTTGTTGAGTGCGAATGACCGTATCGTCCTTGAGGGTGCTGTCGAACTGAAGATGGATCGGGTTTGCTTCTGCAAAGGACGAGCCTGCCTGCTTGCGCTGGCGGCGAGCCTGTAGAGAGATCTGGTGGAAGACATAATATCGCAGGGTCCGGTTCTCGGCGGGTTTTTGCTCGGGATATTCGTGGGAGGGCGCAGAACAATCGGATGCGCTGGACAAGGACAATGATCGGACGTTACGGACGGCTTAAAAACAAAGGCATGCCCCTCAGAGACGGCGGTTGAGCTGATGTGACCGCAATTTGTCGGTGTTTGCTCTGTTGGTTGGCGCTGTGAGCAAGCCGGGGGCCGAAGAAGCGTTGGAAAGCCTTCGCTTGAATAAATGCGCAAGGGAAGCGGCACTGTGGAGATGTCATTGGATTCAGAGAAATTTCTATAGGCTCCTTTGGGTGGTGGGAGCTCCGATAAGGCCCACACCCCTCGGCCTTATCGGCCGGCGATTCGCGATGTTCCGCCTCCGGAGGGTCCATTTCGCGGGCGCTGACGGCAAATGACGGAAAGAAGGACGGATGGCCCGAGCGTCACAAGGAACCCCTCTCCAGCGCAACGCAAGCAGCGGGCAAGCGCGTGTGTTGGGCAGTCATTGTGTGTTTTTTTTTTCTCATTTGCTGGTTGTCGTGCTTGGGCTTCCCGCTAAGAGCCCCGCTAATCTTATCTCCGAGCGATTTCCATTTCATCATGCAAAATTGGAGCGGTGGGCAGCTCCTCAAATCATGCACCACCAGCCTTGAGCTGCAAAATTCACCCGCCAAACACCAAAATGTCGACGCCGCGAGAAGGGGTGAACCCCCTCAGACCTTACTACAGGCCGCCGACCATTGGCGAGGCTCCCGATCCCACGTCTGCTGCTGCTGCTGCTGCCTCTCAGCCCAAGCCTTTCGCCCGCCATGCTGCAAATGCGACCAGCGAGCGGTACGCGTCCAAGGCACGCGACATCTTCTCCGATATCGACTACAAGGACTACATCAGCGAGCCTTCTCCCTCTGTTGTCCAAACCGTCAGGGACCTCGTCGACGAGCTGCTATGGAAATACACCTCCGTCCTCATGGCCCAGCCCTTCGAGGTGGCCAAGACGGTTTTGCAGGTCCGGAGCCATGATGATCTGACTCTGGCACCACCCGCCTCCGAGCAACCCACGCCCCTCGCCTCTCCCGTGCTGGAGAAGAAGCAACCTGTCTTTGGAAAGAACGTTTGGGACGAGCCTGGATCTGAGTCCGACTCTGACCTCGACGAGCCTGCATACTTCACCTCCAACATCCCGACGACGCCGACGCCATCCCAACCCAAGGATGCCCGGCAGCACGAACCCTCCCCTCCTCGCACCCCGGCAGCGAAGCAGCCGCTGCCGCCACATCAGCTCAGCATTCGACGACCAGACTCGTTGATGGAGGTTATTGGGCAGCTGTGGCAGAAGGAGGGTGCGTGGGGCGTGTGGAAGGGCTCAAATGCCACCTTCCTATACTCCATTCTCTCGTCCTTGTTCGAGAACTGGTCGAGAAGTGCTCTCAGTGCCCTCTTCAACGTCCCAGACCTCGGCGTGAAGGAGGATATCGACCGTCTCATTGACATCGCATCGCCCTATCCGTGGGCTTCGCTGTGCGTAGCCGCGGCCGCAGCCGTAGCGACCGGCCTGATTCTTGCACCTCTGGACCTGGTCCGCACACGGTATGTCATGCCATCCTTGATAACCAGCTGCTCTTGGGGGTTGTTGCTGATACTTTGATAGACTCCTCGTCACCCCGACTTCGAAGCAGCCTCGCCGCACGCTGGCGACCCTCCGAGCCCTCCCCTCCTACGTCTGCCCCTCACCGCTCGTTCTCCCCACGATTCTGCATTCGCTTATCCACCCCCTGCTCACCCTCTCTACACCCCTGGTGCTCCGCACACGATTCCTAATCGACAGTCGAGTGTCGCCGACGACCTTCTCCGTCGCCAAGTTTTGTGCTTCCTCAGTTGCTCTCTTCGTCAAGCTTCCCCTCGAGACCGTGCTGCGTCGTGGCCAGGTCGCCGTCCTGAGCACCTCCACATACATCCGTGCTCTTGCCAGCAAGGATCAGCTGATGGAGACAATCATTCCGGCCGGACGGTACAATGGCGTCTTGGGCACCATGCTTTACATTATGAATGAGGAGGGTACGCGAGCGGTTCCTGTCCCGCCGGCCCCGGTCAGAAGGGGCAGGGCACCCAAGCCCAAGGTCGCCGAGACCGTGTTCCGAAAGGGACAGGGCAAGGAAGGCCTTTGGCGGGGCTGGAAGGTCAGCTGGTGGGGGCTTGTTGGTCTCTGGACCGCCGGTATCATTGGAAACAGTGCCGAAGGCGAGTTCTAGATGCCAAGCTTCAAGTAAGCAACAAAGAACCACACGCCAACAGACAACGACTGGTCGTTACAACCGAGTACGAGTTCGAAAGAGCGAGAGTGGGAAGAGAGTGCGTGAAAAAGCTGTTTTGCTGTTGTGCTAGACGTATACTGGGACGACGCGGGAAACAAAATAGGCGTTCGGGGACATATTTTTGGGACCTCCCTGAACCACTCTCCTATACGACGATGATGAGATACGGTATGATATCCTCCTTCTAAGATTTTGCTATTGTACAAACCCGCATCAATGAGAAAAGAACAACCCCTTTCCTGAAATACAAGACAAAACAAGAAACGGCCGTACCTGCAAAATCAAGAAAACGCTCGTAATTCACCTTCAGCTAGCATCTCTCGCGCTGAGCCATACCCCTAATAGAAACTCTTGTGTTTTAAATTTAGTTCACCCACTCCCTACTGTGTTCCTCGTCATCTCGTCCTCACGTGCGTCATGTCGTGCGGCAAGCCGTGTCACCTCGCCGTCACATTTAGATGTGGTCCGTATCTGTGGAATTTCGCTAGAACCTCCCTTCCGTACGACCTGGAACCTGGCGCAGAATGAATAAAAGCCTGGAGCGAAGGCACACCGAAGCCTGCGTCGTACGGGTGCCTGCATACAGGATGTCATGATGGCTCCTGTCAGTCACACACCGTGGGGCTCATCCCAACCAGTCACTCCCGCCGCGAGGTCCCCTCTAGCCCTCGGATTAAGTGCTCGTTTGAGAAAGGTTCGTCACAATCGTCACAGGAACCAAGAAGAGGGGACGCACAAGAAGGCACGGCGAGCCAGGGGCGCGGGATGCGTTTGCCGCACTACGCGCCTCCGTCGTCCCATCACCATCACCACCGCCCTTGTGCCAAGGCATGTCGTCTGCAAGCCTTGCCTCAGTATCCGAGGCTCTCCAGGAATCCCGTGGACCGGGCCGTCCAGGCCGTGGTTTATTTGGGGTTCATGTCATGGGACTTTGGTCGTCCTGGGGTGACATTGGCGTTTTAGTCGGGGTGCTGCAAATATCTCACGCTAACTCGTGGAGGGTTGGGGGCCGATAACGACCTGAAGAGGCGATGCCAGGCGGCCGCCCCCTCGAGGATGAGTCTGCATCGCAGCCTACCGCAGGAACAATTCTTGGATAAAAGTCCTGCGATGGTCCGTCCTCTTTCTGCCTGTCTCGTATATTGTCCCAAGGAAAATCAATGATTCTGTCGACTTTTTCGAAACTGTCTTTGGCCGCAAGCTCCACTCTTCTATTTGTTGTTCGGGTATCAATCAATCGCACGATGGCCCGCTCGTCTCTATTCCCCATCACATCGGCTCTCAATGCCTTTTTGCTCATCTGCATCATTCTCAAGCACGTCGCCATCGGCGTCGCGCGCTCGACAGTGCGGCACGCATGCATGGTTGTTCTGTTCCCTGTCATGCTCTTGCATATTCTCATCATCGAGGGCTGAGACAGACGACTCCGTTCGTTACTCAAGGGCGGCGTCAGATCTACCCACGATGCCGCCCGGCCTGCCACCTCATCATACCTGTCCACCATCCTGGCGCAATCAAGGGAAGAGAAATGTTCCGGCGGTGTCGAGGCTGCGTGTCTCGGCGCCCTCGCTTGAACGGATTCAACATCTTGTCTCTGCCTGAATCGCTTCGGTCTTGTCCCCACTTCCGGGCTTGAGTCAAGTGGTGATTCGAACGCCGCGTCAAGGCGCTCTTGTTCACCTATACGGAGCCTACGCCGGGCCCGGTCGTTGTGGGGCCGTGATCCCCGGCGCTTTCCTCCGCGGGTAAAATACGCATGCACGGCCATGCGCAGGTTGCCGCGCCGCTTGCTAGTCCACGCGAACCTGGGACATCATTTGGGATGGTTGTTGTGTCTTGGTGCTAAAATCTTGCTGTTGCACACACATAGCCATGTGGCAGACAGGCAGCTGTGCTGATGATGGATCGGGTCAAGGATCGAACGGCGGGGCCGTTCCGGGATGGAAACATCGCTGTTTACCAGCAGATTTGCCTTTGGGGTGGTTGCCGCCTGGCACCTGTCAGATTTGTTACCGGTGCTGCGGCCTTGGAGCCTAGCTAGTTCATTGAAATAAATTATTCCGCACATCATCTGTTTGCCAAGGTTCTGAGATTGTTCGAATCCGCCTAGTCACCCCCTTCTGGGTGGACCTTTTACGGATTCGGACGACAGGAGAGACATATTCGGTTACTTCTACGCTAAAGATGGGTTGAGACTCCGATTGCGGCGAACTGCGGCGGCAAAGACATGCTTGACGTGACAGGTCCACTTTCTCTATCCCTTTGGTACAGCCCTGGGAAGATTGAAGCGCTATTTCTCGCGTGGTCATCGCATGTCGAAGGACATTCAACGAGACGTCGCAAGTTGACACGAGCTATCAAGAACGGTGGCTCGGATGGAAACCTCGCTTGCTTCCGCTCCAAAGTCGCTAACTTGTGATTTGATCTCCTGCAATCAGGCGAAGACATGGTGATGGTTACCATCTCCCTTTTGGACTCACGAGACGGTCAGAATTCTTCTCCATTGCCCTGCCGAGGCTTCTGTTCCCATGGAAAAGAGGCGATTGGCCATCGGCGTCTTTTGAAAAGAGGTGACGTTGAGACATCTGGTTACACGTCTCCTGACTATCGATCTTAACAGGAGGCTAGACCCTGGGATGACGCTAGTTGGGCGTGGTGACTGAGACGTTCTTACCGGACGTATTAGCCTAGATGTCTCAAGTGGAACTTTCGATGGCTTTTCTGGAGACTTTTCGGCTGTCTGGTTGGACGATGCATCGGTTCGCCCGGCCGACGCCCTTGTCGATGGACACCACGGGCCGCCCATCGCAAACAGTCCGCGGGGATGCAATAAGAAATAACTATTGTTTCTTCTTCCTAGTTCGTACGGAGAGAAATGGGCAAAGTCCTGTCGTCGAAGCAGCCCAGGTTGAGGTTTGGATATCCTCTGGATCCACCATGAGTGTAGCCCGATTCCAACGTCATTCTTGCCAGCTCCAGAAAGCCACATGGTCGTGGTCTGGACGCGATGGCTTCCGTTGTTGCCGCCACAAATAGACGGTTGCGAATAGCTCCAAAACCTTATAGCCTATTTGCCTTGGAATCTGCGCTTTACTAGTTCGTAGGGAAGCTCCCGAGTGGTCTTCGACCCGTCGTGGCGTGTTCTGAGGCTTCTCGGCCGCCTCTGGTTTCGGTAAATTCTCGTCAAAACACAGGTTTTTCGGCGCAGCCCGATGAGCCTTCGGAGAGTAATTTCACTCAGCTTTCTAAACGTTGCAGTGAATTTGACAAGTCATTCTGACGCCCGATGAGGGAGGCAACAGGCGCCTCACGTCTCCCTTTCGCGTACTTAAGACCCCTCCAGGGGCCGTCAATCCTTGGGATGCTTGACTCACCTTATCCCTAGTTCGACCACGGTTGTTGAAGATCCGCAACTTGAAAGACTTTGCGAGTATAAGAGCTGAAGATCGGCCGCTTTATGGAAAGCATTCTAGTTAGGATATCACCATCCACAGTTCTCTAACCACTAGTCTTTCTTTACTAGCTTCGTCGATCACTTCTCACTGGACGTTTTTCATCGTCATTCCATTCTTTCAAGACACCATGGGCATCCGTCAGACGTCCCGTATCGTAGCCGCACTGGCTTCAGTTGCATCCGTTGCCGCACACGGCCATGTAACGAACATCGTCATCAACGGCGTCTCCTACCGTAACTACATCCCAACACAAGACCCATACACCAACAACCCACCTCTGGTTGCCGGATGGTCTGCTGACCAGAAGGACAACGGTTTTGTCGACCCAAGCGCTTACAACGCACCCGATATTATCTGCCACAAACAAGCCGCCTCCGGCAAAGGTCGCATCACTGTAGCTGCCGGCGATACGATCCAGCTCCAATGGACCGAGTGGCCAGACAGTCATAAAGGCCCTGTCATGGACTTCCTGGCCAACTGCAACGGCCCATGCAATGCCATTGACAAAACAGCCCTCCGTTTCTTCAAGATCGACGGTGCCGGCCTCATCGACCCTCCTCAGCAAACCAACAAGTGGGCTGCGAGTGCCCTCATCGCCAACGGGAACGCGTGGCTCGTTCGCATCCCGTCTAATATTGCACCAGGCCACTATGTCCTCCGCCACGACATCATTGCCCTCCACAGCGCCGGCCAACAGAACGGAGCCCAGAGCTATCCCCAGTGCATCAACCTGGAGATCACGGGTGAAGGCACGTACAACCCCCCTGGAGTTCTAGGCACCGCGCTTTATGGAGCGAACGATCCTGGTATCTACTACAACATCTACCGTGACAATCTCAATGACTATGTCATCCCTGGGCCAGCAATCATCTCTGGTGGTGTCTCGATGGTACCACAGAGCAGGATCGCGATCACTGCTTCCGCAAGCGCGACGCCGTATGGCACCACGGTTATTGCTTCATCTTCCCGGGCTGCGAGCAGTGCTGCTGCCTCTAGCTCTGAGATTACTACTAGCTCTTCCGCCAGCTCTTCTGCTTCCACTTCAACATCGAGCAAGAACACCGGTAGCAGCACTCCGACAAGTACCATTGTCCGAACATCCACCTCGACACTGACGACCTTGAAAACCCTCACCAGCGTGACTCCGACTACCACCAAACCACCCTCGAACGGCGAGGTCACTCAGGGTCTGTACCAGCAATGCGGCGGCAATGGCTGGACCGGTCCGACGGCATGCCCAGCATACGCCGCTTGTTCCACCATGGACTCGTACTACGCACAGTGCAGACCTACGCCAGCTGCTGGTGGAGGTCAGCCTTTGTATGCGCAGTGTGGAGGAAACGGATACACCGGAGAGACTCAATGTGTGTCGGGGTCCCAGTGCACTGTCATCAACCCTTGGTATTCCCAGTGTCTGCCTTGAGAAAAGCGGTGGTTTGGCCGTACTCTTGCCTAGCAGGCATAGTATGCAAGAAGTGTGATGGTTTGGGTATTTTCGGAGCGTAGCGTGAAAGCATGGCAGGTTGTGTAGTTCTGGGAAGACTTTGGGATGTTTTGTTCTTGGTATAGTTCGGGCGTTGAGCACGGATAGTCTAAGTCGTAACTTTAATGGCTTATAATCTCTGAGTCTCTGCATTGAATTAGAATTCTACGTAAATGTTCAAGCATGCAGCCGTGCGAGTTGAACTTGCAACTCAACATCGAAAAGTTCCCCCACGGCCTAAGACAAAGAGCGGTACGAATCTAGGAATTGATACTAAACATCAAGTCGTGATGTTGATACAAGTTGTACTCGGCCAACACAAGTACACAGTCTAACGCAGTGACACAACAGTGGGAAATCGCCAATACATATTACATCTGGGGCTGCCACCCAAGTCAAAGGTGCTAGTAAACACGTGATTCATAAAACCAGGCTCGGTTGTTAAGACTCAGTAGAAAGACTTTCAACAGATATCATCCCCTGAAGCTGATCATCTGGTCAATCATGAATGCGGGAATGTAAGCGGCGGCGTCTTAGTGAAACCAATATGAATGAGACCTGAGGATAATTGAGTCGTACGAATCGAAACCTTACTTCGGACATCGGGCAGTAGGTTCCACGGGGCTTTGTTGTACCACCAGTCTCACAAAAGGAGTCACAGGCCACCCTGACTATTTAAGAGAACCTCCGCACCTTTTGACACGATGTGTTGGTCGTCGCTTTTTGTCAGTACATCACCTTCTTCGACATTAGTGAAAACTATCACTCAATTTTCTCAACTGAAACCAGAGTTGACTTGAACCAGAATGAAGCAACTCTTCCATCTACCTTTCTTGTTGATTCTCTTCATGAGCTTTTCTTTTGGACAAACTCAAGAGAGCGCTTGCAGAATCGTGACAACGAACTACAATATTGGCGTAAGTCAGCATTTGAAATGACCAAAAGCGCAGCAAGACAGCGAAGACCTAATCTGAATACAGTTCAATGGCATCACACCATTGAGCCCTAATAAACAAGCTCTCTCACCTCCGACTCCATACTTCGAACTCGCCTACGAAGGCTTCGACATCAAGGCAGTGGCAGGCCCAAATGACGTCTCTGATAGAAAGTGCTTGACATACGAAGGAACATCAGTGTCTAGCACACGAGCCATAAGGAGAGATTACAACGGATCTCGTGTCGAGAACTTCGATCTAGATGGCTTCGACTACAAATGCATCCGGACGTTGTCCGAGCCAGAGCGGCGACCATGCAAAATCACAATCACTGGAGTATCTGTAAATGGCGACAATGTGTCTGAGAGTTGCACTGACGACTGGATGAGAGCGGATGCAAGTCTTTTACGATGCGAAGTTAAGTTGATGAAGAATCTCAGGGGTATCAGGATTGGGACCTCGAGAGGAGGGTACCCCACCACCAATCGGTTTACTATGGTCACGGTCATGAACAATCTCAACTTTACGGTACGAAGGAAGGGATGTTGAAGACTCAGAGATTAACATATTCTTTCACGCTTGATAGCCATGGGATATAGCTGCAAACCACTTGTCAAGTTACCTCTGGCGTTGATCCTGTTTGTCTACGAGGTGAGGAGGCGAAAGCCCGCTTCATTCGCCTTGTTCTTTACATCTACATGTAAGCCGTCGTTTGAAACGCAAATCACGGGTGCACAAACTGAAAGAACATAAAGACGGGCTGCTATTGGTACGGAACAGAGCTTCGTTTACATAGTTCCATTTCGATCAAGAATTCCTCAAGTGAAGTGAAGTTACCACATCCATCTCAACCAGTACCTCCAGATCAAGACCAGTCAGCTGAGTGCTGCGCACTACTTGCCTATGAGCGTCGGATGCGACTACTCTAAACGCCAACAGGAGTTTGGCAAAGAACGGCCTGTCCGAGCTGTTCGTTGTTAGACACGAACACAAAATCGGTTCAAGATTCGAAGTCACTTACCACAGGGAGAACGCAGCAACGAGCCCGCTGGCCACCAACCGCGCAGATCTTTCTGAAGTCGTTGGCAGAGGAGGGAACCGAAGTGGCTATGGATGATTAGGGTGCGGTTCAATTAATCAATATTAATATAGCTTTTAACTTACGGGAAGCACAATCAAGGTCAGCGACTCCGAGGACATCGGTCGCGCAGCACTGGGCACTGTCGTACAATCCAGAGCAAGGATCGTAGGGGGCAGGAGTAGAGCCGCCGCCGTTGTGTCCGTCACCAGTAGGGGCAGCGATCGCAACGCTGGCGAAGATGGCAATGAGAGCGGTGGTGAACTGCATTTTGATGTTCTTAAAGAGTTCCTGGCGGGAGACTAAACGATTGGAGCTTGTAAGGCTGGTGTTTGACTGGAGGCTGGCGAGATGAATGCTGATGCTGATGATAATAGATGTTTGGAAGGGATTTCGACCTCGGTTTATATACTTGGTTTACATACCATCAGTTGAAGACCAGTCCTGGCCGATGCAGTTCTTGCTTGCCTTGTTCAAGTCGATCCTGGACCTCATCGCGCCCGGCTACTGTGATCGGGAGACAACCTCCCCCGGCCCCCAAGGCAAAAGTCTCGCCACATCATGAAGCATGCCACAATGGTCCCGGCCTCGAGGCAAACACATTCAACATTCAGAGTCACGATAGTATGCATACCGGCTATGCCGGACAGAGTGACCCATTTCCTATTTGGATGACATGGCTGCACGTTACAATATTGGCTTGGCTTCCCACTTTATTTGGGCTGGGCTTCAACTTCTAGCACCTGTCACATTCTTCCACTCAACACGAGTTGTTTGGAAGCACAGTATCCAGTAAGGCGCCACTAAAGATCTTGAATAGGATGGGAATCCTTCAAATCCCCGAAAAAAGCAAATTCCGAGCGAGTCCGTGACGCTACCGCGGAAGCAGCAATCTCGTCCCGTGTGGAGAAGAGCCAGGACCTGACCACGGGTGCAGCCGCTCCCGTGTATTTAGTATTGTTTAATGCAACGTTCCCCGCCTTCAGCTGGAAGTGTGAGCGAATCAAGGCCGACAGTCATTTCAGCGCCAGCCTTCCACAGTGGGTAATTGACGGATACGACCCTACACTTACAGGCATACAGGCATGATCGTCGCTGCGCTGTTCATCTCTGTGAGCAGACTTTTCACCCAGTCTCCAGTTCTGGGGCATCATATCATGAAGAATCTCAGGCCGCAAGCAACGACATGGGCTGCAGAAGCCCTTCGGCGTTTCTTTTTGAGACGGCTGGGAATTAAAAGGTTCTTGAAATTTACGTTACCTTGGCATTTGATTGAGGCCATATTCAGCCGAAAAGTCAGCGCGGCAGGATATGGCCATGCCAATCGTTAACAGCTGAGGGGATGTCAGAACTGTATCTCTACTGTGCCTGTTAATGCTCAAGTGGTTGCCGAGTGTCGGGTTCGAATGGGTGTTCTAGACTTCACCCGTAATGAAGCTGATTGGGCGTTCAACAATCTCGATAAATATCTCATTTCGCTGGCAATGATCGACGTCTTCCTTGCCCTTATTCAAGAGTAAGGCTTGAATATGACTATCCATTATCCACTCACATACATGACGCAAGATGATGTCAGGGGTTGTTTGTAAGGGCTGAAATATGCAGCTTGAACAGTTGGCGATGCCAAAAAAGGCACTGCAGAGAGTTGCCTAGACCGCCGCGGCCAATAGAAGCTAGTCTGTCAACATGTCCAAGAGCAGTTTGCATCCCGGATAGAGCGTGGGTCTCGGAATGAAAGCAAACAAACATCCTGCAGGATCGAAGTATAACGTCAAAGCAATTAGACCACATCTCTACCCGCTCCAATACATACACGAGTAGTGCCACTGTCAGATCAGTAAACATTTGCAATCAACACCAAGGAGGTAAGGAGTTCGTATGCTGCATCAGCTTTCACCGAAATATGCACTACCGGCCCACCGACTCCGCCTCATCCCGTTTGCGGTCCAGTTTGTCGAACTTCCGTACAACCTGAAGGGTGGCAAAGTAGCTGAATGGCAAAGCAATGAACCAAAGACCCAGGTTGATGCTTGCCGTTGCAATGAGGGCGGTTGGCACGGCTTGAACACCGAAGCCAACGGCAACTGCGGCCGTCTCACTACCCCGAAGTAAAGAGCTATACCGAATTTGGTCGCCAGGGGAGTCCGAGAGGTTGCCGATACACCAGTAAATGTAGTTTTCCACCATTCCAAGACTGATCCGCTCGAACATGTAGACGCCGAACCCTCGACCAAACTCGCCCTGAAGAGCCCAATCCAACACGGGAAGCGTAAATCGATACTCATTCTGGATGATGACGGCCCATATCCATGTCGCGCTATTGAGTGAGGCAATCAGGGCATAAGTCGCGATGGCTCGCGTCTGTCGATTCTTAGTCCAGGGTAGGTCGACAAGAGATCCGCCCAGCCACGTCGCGAAGGTTCCCACAACTGCAGACATGAAGCTGCCCAGAGCTCTAGACCGGACGGTGAAGTAAGTGGCCAGGTAGGTGCCGGGATAGGCCTGTATCCATCCGAAGTACCAGAACAGGGGGATCAGGAGGACGATGGATCGACTCTTGAGCAGCTTCCACATTTGCTTGCTCTCTTCCCGCCAGTGAATTCCTCGCGGAGCTTCGATTGATGTACCGTCATCGCGTCTGACCTTCTCAGGATTCGACAAAAGGAGGCCGAAGAAGAAGCCCAAGCACTGAATCGCGATGAAGCCTAGATATGTGTGGTACCCAACTTTGCCTTTTTGGTTGACCTTGTGGTTGATGGCCAAGGATATCGCCCCTCCAATGATGTTACCAAAGTTTCGGAAGGTAAACCACGTCGCGATGTAGCGTCCTCGCTTGTGCTGTTCCGGATAGCCTGTACTTATGGCTCCTTCAACACTCCAAAAGAAGCCCGCACTCAGGCCACACGCAACTGAACCAAAGTAAACGAACCAGGTTGCGCCAGTTCTGTTGTTGACGTAGAGGCCGGCGGCATACAACGGATAGCCCAAGGAGCCTATCGCAAGCGTCCATCGGAACCCAATGATGTTCGTCATCCAAGGTCCAGCAAAGCAAGTTATTGTCATGAAGGCGTACAGAAGGGCATTGGCCGCATTGACGAGATTCGGACTCTGAGAGCCACCCACACCCAAGCCATTCATGGCGCTCCAGATGCCGGGAGCACTGAAGGCACATATGCCAACGACCAGAATCTGAAATAGGGTGCTTCTGAAGAACGGTATCGAGGATGGGGGCGTCGAGGGACCATCTTGACTGGGCTCCGAAAGATCCTGTCCAGTAGCAATAGTTGTAGTTGGTTCATTGGACTCAATAACGCCTTTCTGCACTGATTTGAGAGACATCGATTCGGGAGGTTCGAGTATGATCGCGGTTGAAGAGATTAAATGGAATCTGTTCGAAGTTGTGATGATACAGATATCGAAGTTGTTGAAGAAGCGCCGACGCACCGCTTAACATCTTCTCAATCAGGTGCCCATAATCACGTAACACGGCCAGAAATTGACATTATCGGTGTCTTGCTGGTATCGCTGCTTGTCATCCACGTGGTTGGTGATAAGAGATATCTAGCATCCAATAATTGGAGGGCTTGCGCCAGCTCTACAGGAATTGCGTGCTCCGGCTGGAGGGCCCGACCGATATCGATGATCGGCACCCCTCATCGGAGTGTGCACCAAGCCCACTCGGCTGGCAACTGTGATACCGAATGCGACCGAACCCCGCACAGAGGAGGTTCCCAGCAAATCCGCCGTCACTTCCTGATTTTACGATAAAGATAGATGTGAGTAGTTCTGATAATCCATCGCATAGTGTCGCTTGTGAATGCTGCATGATGGTGGTTTATCGCCGGCTTCAAATCATGAAGGTTGAGTTGAGTTATTGAAGAACGTTCAAGATGGCGCCTGACCGGCTGATGCGTCCAACTGCTGATCCTGGATCCCAGAGCATTACTGATGGTGTGTTGCGTCATATCAGAAGGATCCAACGATTTTGAACCCAAAGATAACGTGATTTTGGTTCCGAATGCATGTCGCACGTGTGACAGCGTTTCATTATACAGAGGACCGCTGCCGGTTTCTCAGGGTAAATTTAAACGGCCAGTCTCCGTATCTTCACCCTCGCCAGTAGACTACGTGAAGTACTACCACTAATCTGCAAATTCGACCACCAAGCCCAGCCCCGCTACAGTATGGCAACAGCAATCACTCTGAACTCGTCATTGTTCGTTCCGAATGACACTGTCGACCCTGAGTCACAAACAGTGGTGTTTGAGTCTTTTGAATTGCCAACAACCAACCAGAGGAATCTGGGAGCTCCTCACCCCGAAGGCACGGTGATCCCACTTGCCCTACGGCTATCAAGTCACGATGATGATGTCGAACTGGAGACGATAATCCAGACAGTGAAGTCGCTCCAGGCTCGCGGTGGGATTCTCACAGAGAAGCTTGCTCTTCATGGGACTTTGTTGTTCCGAGGTTTGCCCATCCACAATGCCGAGGACTTCAGCAAGTTCGCCCATGCCTTCGGTTACAGGCCACATGAAATCATTGGCATTGTGGTGAACAGGCCGCTGCTGGCTCCCAATGTAGCTCCTGCGAACGAAGCGCCCAAGGAGGTTTTGATTTACAACCACAACGAGTCGCCTCAGGTACCACACGCTCCTGAGTACATCTTTTTTTACAACCACAAGGCTCCTGAAAGAGGGGGGGAAACCCCGATTTCATCTTCGCTCGAACTTTTCAATCGCGCTAAGGATGAGATTCCGGAGTTCATTGCCGAGATCACCGAGAAGGGGATTCTCAGCCGTGTCACGTACAAGTTCGACCGTCAGTACGAGGGAGGATCAACGCTTAAGCAGGCCTTCGGCAAATATTTTCAAGAAGGAGACAATGATCCCACCAAGAAGGCCAAAATTGAGGCTCAGATTTCCCGGTACGGTCGTGGTGAGCATACTACATGGGAGTGGATAGAAGATGGCGTTGTTTTGACCCACCGGCTTCCGGCAGTACGCACGCAGCCCGGCACAAATCTGCCGACTCTGTTCACAGGTCTGGCAGCATATTGGAAGAATGCGCAGGGGGGCAACGGGTCTAGGAAAGAGGTGACCAAACAGCTGTATGGTGACGGCACTCCCATTCCAGAAAAGTATCTGGAACATTTGTCGAAGATTACGGATGAGATCCGTGTCCTTCATAAGTGGCAGCGAGGCGACATTCTTGTTTACGACAACATCATTGCTCAGCATGGAAGGCAGCCTTGGGAGGGCGAGCAATCAGATCGTGTGGTTCTAGCCAGTCTATTCGATGGTCACAGCGTTCCAGGTGCGTACAACGATAAGAGTTGGGCCCAGGTTGTCCAGGCACTTGAAGGATGAGTAGGAAGTCAATGGATCACTCTCTCAGTGTGTTGCTAGTTTGAAGTAGAATACGATGTCTTACCTTGTCTCAGACAGGCCATTCGTTTAACATTGGTACATCAGCAACGTCTTCAGTCTCGCTGTTCCTAATAATAAACTGCCACTAAATTGCCCGAAAGTGATGAGTTCTGCATTCTGAAGGATTGAGAAGTAAAGTGGATTGCCATCTTAACATACTAATCATGACTGCTGAACTTATACTTGTAGCCTGGATGAGATGCTCTTAGCTTGGGGTCCCCAGGGGTCGCGTATAAGTTCTCCCTTGCGGTTCCTCCAGGGACTGCGTAATCCCCATTCCCCAACCATCCCCTTGCTTCGAGCTCAGGAATGAGGTATTCTATCACGTCTGCCCAGGCGTCAGGAACAACAACATGTCCGATGTTAAAGCCATCAACGTCAGCAACCGTGATCCACTTTTCCAGCTCATCAGCCACAGTCTTGCCGCTGCCAACCTTGAAGTTTCCACTCCCCCCTATGGATTGGAATTCGGCTAGAATTCGCGGTGTCCACCTCTCATATCCCTGTGGCCGAGAGAGGAGACGTTCCCGCTGCTGCGGTGTGAGTTTTGCCATCAGGGGGTGATTGGGATCCGTAGGAAATTCTTCGTCAAGAGGGAATTCGCTAACATCAATGCCAGAGATGCCGCCGAGAAGTGCGAGGCCTCCGTCACCAATTGCGTACTTCTTGTATCGTTCGTACTTCTCCTGAGCCTCCTCGTCTGTAGCACCGAGTATCGGGGTAAACTGAATGAAGAATTTGATGTCGTGTGGATCTCGACCCTGTGAAGCGGCGAGGTCTCGGGTCTTCTTGATCTTGCCCGCAAGAAATGCCGGGTTGGGGTCGCCGATGAATATGCACTCTGCGTGCTTTGCAGCAAATGCTGACCCAGCCGGCGACATGCCAGCTTGGAAAAGAAGAGGGGTTCTCTGAGGACTGGGATCGACCTGATGAGCACTCTCGGATTTGAAAAACCGTCCTTGGTGAACGATCTTCTTGACTTTAGAAGGATCAGTAAACGTAGATGTTGTGGAGTCTTTGACCACAGCATCATCTGCCCATGACCCCTCCCAGAGTCTAATTATCATGTTAGCTGGCAAACAATATCTGCACATGACCGTGAGCACGTTTACTAACTTATAAACTAGCCTTAAATACTCATCCGCCATTTATAACGAAGGTCATGTTCCGGAAGCTTTTCCAGGCCCATAGCTCGGGCAGCATTGTCACTCCAGGAGGTGACAATGTTCTGCGTGTTCTCTGTCAATAATTATCTCAAAAGTGGCTTGTGCTTTGCGACAACCTTACCCACGCAATTCTGCCTTCAGTGACATGATCCAAGGTCGAAAATCTTTTGGCCAGAATGAACGGGGGCTCAAAAGTGGTGCATGCTGTGACGCCGAAAGCGAGGCTCTTCGTGACAGCAGCCATAGCCGAGATGACCTTTTCTGCGTCAGTTGATGGTTGAGAGGCCCCAAGTTGAGACGTAACTTACCACGAATGGATCATAAAGTGGCCATTGGGTTCCCGATCTAATGGCAGGGGCATGGCTCTTCTGGTATACATCGTGGCTTCCGAAGTTGTCGGTTTTCACAGATAAGTTACCCGGCTTAAGGAAGCACATGGAATTTTGACATACCTAAGAATAAAGCGTTGAACTTTCCCTTCTCAAGGAGCTGCGCTAACTCGATCCAGTAGGGCAAGCGACTTTTGTGTGAGCTCTTGTCTTCTGGGTTCTGCCACTGTCTATGCTTTCAGTACTAGTGAGTATAACCAATTTACAGATATGTCCAACGCCGTTCATATCAAAAGTGTTTAAAAGAATTCTCTTCTGTTTTACGTTTATGTAATATCCATATATTCGCTCCCCATCAATCTTGCCCTTGAGAAGATCGATTGACGTGGCTTCTGCTGGGTGGAGAGGGGTGTCCGGCGCCATTATGTCTCGGTGAAGCTGATGGGTTGAAGTAACTGTCAATAAACTTATTCAGCAATGAGTTAACTACAATTTTGAAGGAACCAAAATTGCTGCTCTTGTACTTGGGATGTAACGAAATCTCGCGAAAGTGAAAAGGAAGAGATCTAGTAGGAGTCGTGAACGACGTTGGCACCGAACGACTGGAGGTGACGTAGACCTCCTAGAGATAGAAGAAGAACTTGTACCAATCTTCGAGTATGTGTGCTGATTTCAAGAATGCCCCGTCTGCTGGCATTGAAAAAACTTGCGTGATTGATCCTTTGGATGTGGGATGTTTTGTTAAATTGCGCCATTGATAAGTGAATCCAAACCCCTCCGATTCGCTGTAGTGCATCTAGCACGCAATTGTATGCACTCCGCACGAATGTGCCATCCTAAGGTGCATCAAAACAAGCCATACGAGTAACCTGATCATCAATTCTGGCAACGAATTCTGATGAAACGGAATTGCGACATCGGAGTTTTGACGGAACTTATCTCGTAAGGCCAAGTGATCGTTGCAAATGGAGATTGATTACGTCTTTAACGAATTCAAGCAGCCTATTTTGCGAAAATCTCGTACAGATTATACTTGCGCAATGCGGAGGGAGGACTGCCCGTATTCTCGCTGTTGTCGTCGTCGTCTTTGTTCCGGCCGAACAGCAAAGTTCAAAGCGTATGCTTCGACTAATATATAAAGGTCGTGTCACTTCGTACATAATGATTGGACACGATGAGCTTTTGCGCAATTGATAAAGCTTTACGTTCAGGGCTACTACGTGCATCTGGTCCATTTGCGTGGATTTCGATTGGGAGGATACAAAGGCTCCGCCAACTAACACCAGAAAAAGCTGGTCGTGGCTCTGAGGAGATCCATCTAGACCTCTCGGCTCGCAGAAAAATCGTCTATGTAGACGAATAACTTGTAGGGCCCTCTGCGTTCTGTTGACGACGCCGATCTCTCGCCGAGTACCAAACCACGAAACAAGTCCATGAAAAGTATGTCACCTGCATGACTGCCTCCATGATATAACCCCTGAAAAAGCGAGGAGCTTCAACCGTTGGAAACGCCACGATAGGAACCCATGTTCCGAATGCTGTACTGATTGCTAACATGGAACTGACGACAAAGGCTCGTTCTTCAGCATCGCCGGCGCAAGCAAGATTCGCCAGACTGTAGTTAATGGGAGAGACGGAGACCTCGATGTAACTAATTGCCACCGCGAACCACTTGAAACCAAATGAAGTGTGATCGTAAACTATCCAAGCAAATTTGGATATGAAATGAAGCAGGCTGACGGCTCCAATCAAGTCAAGGGAGCGATTGCTTTCTGCCCACCCTTATCAATTGTCCATGAGAACCCGAGAATGAATAAGATCCCGATGCTTGGACTGATTGCCTAGAGATACAAATCAATGAGTTGCAATGGTAGTTTACGCCAGGGGGTTTCGGGACTCACGGTGAAGTTGTTGACCTGTGCCACAGAATATTGTTCGTTGCTTCGCAGCCACAGAGTTGGGCTCCCTGTGACCATACTCTCATACCCCATCAGCCACATCACATTCCAAGGGACGAGCACCCAAAAGTGCCATCTGCCGAGGAATCTTTTGACAGAAAGCCAAGATAAGCTCAGTCCCTCAGGATCGAATCGACCTTCAAGAATCATTCTTTGTTTCGCCAAGGCAAACTCTTCGTCTGTGAAGTACCATCTTTTCCCATCTTTTGGTGTACCTGGGAAGGTAATTGCCCCCCATGCGGCAATCGGGAAAGTCATGATCGACGCAACAATGTACATCCATCTCCACCCCGGAAGGCCCAGAGCGCCATCTAAGGATTGATAGACACGAGAGGCAAGAAGGCCGGTTGTCATCGTGCCGACGCCGCTTGACACGTAGAATATTCCACCTCGGCGCATAAGCTCGTCGCCTCGATACCTGTAGCCTAGGTTTCAGAAGGTCGCCCTAAAAGAGCCTGGGGGTTGGCAGCAGGTGTGACTTACCAGCTTCCGAGAACATAATGTATCGAGCAGAAGTAAGGTCCTTGTTAAATTAGCCGTCATCATTGTCAGCGATACCATGGAACACACCTTCAAGAAGACCAACTAAGAAGCGATAGCCTGCCAGCTCTGCGAAGCTGTTTGCACGGTAGCACAACAATGTAAATATCCCCCAAATCGTCATCGAAGTCGGAATTACATATTGAGCAGGATATTTGGTGACCAGGAGCGTTGCTGGTATCATAGATCTGTAATCCCGATCAGGAGTCTGTATATAAGAGATTTGTAGAAGGGAATGAAGGCAACATACACACAGTAACCCACGCTGAAGATGGACCCCAATTGCACCAACTCATTGCCCAAGAGCTCGAGATCTAGACTGGTGTTGAGTCATCTTAAGCTTTCAATAGGATGGATACCTCGCACCTTCTCGCATGCCACTGATGAACGCATTGGTCAGGATTCCTCTGTCGATGTACAAAATCTGTTGCTAGGATTAGCAAGAAACCCAACCCAGACAAATCACTTGACAATCAACTGCATACCCAGAAGCCCACGAAAGCATATGTCAAAATGAGAAAGTCAAGCTTCAGTATTACTCTTAGCTCCAAGGGTCCATCGTTTCTGTCGAACCAGGCAAAGAATGACTTTTTGCTGAAGTTTCGGTTCGGCCGGTGTTCCTCGGGGGGACCACCCGTATCTTCTTGTTGACCCGCGTCGCGTGCGTTCTCTGGTCGGTATTTTGCGGCTACGTCAACACCATAGCTCTGTTTCTCTGCCATGGCTCGCATCTGCAGAAATTAGAATACAAAGCAACGCTTTTCTGAGAACAGAGTGACGAGTATTGTCAATTTTTGTGTCTTGCATGGGCTAGATACGCAGCTGCTGATCGAACTTGGAGACTTGGTTACTCAATCCTCAATGCTTGATCACTGAACCCGTCCCGAGGACCTGGCAAAGAGCACACGCTCCTGCCGAACCCAAAAGGCCCAATCAGGATTCCCGCAAGAATTCCGATACCGCAATCGCATTCTGTTGCGTAAAGAACACCCAGAATGGCGCAATGGGATGTTCCCTCTTGCCCGTAGCGGTTACCCAAGAGAGCTTCTGAATCTTCAGCAACGTTATGTCTGAGGCCAAGACATGATGACCGTTATTTCCGGGTAACAACGGCTGAGCACGTGGGGGCCACGCCGTTGACGCGATCACACCCATGTTAAAATTGTTGCCTCTTACCAGTGATAAATCTGCAGTAAAGCAAGCCAACCAGGGTGAATACGGACAATTTTCCAAATTGTGTCATCACCCTTGCTGGTTCACACCTTATCTGAACCTCTTGTCTTGTCTTGTGTGATGTGGAGCCGGTATGTCGCAATGGCTGTCGCTCTTTGGATAATATGATCACCATACGTTGGTGCCGGGGCTACAAGCGCGAATAGAATGCGTCCAATACTGGTTGTCATTGTATTGCTCGATTGCTCGTAAGTCCATCTGCAAGCTTATCATGTTCCCCGCGGTCAAGTCATCTCCAGCGACGGCTGTCATCCACGGGTCTTGGATAGGTGACGCCTTTCGGTCAGAACCACAGCTCTACTCTACCTAAGGTAGTAATTGCAGTACAGAAGTTGAGTGGCAAAAGCTTCTCGAGAGTAAACGTGTTTTCTCATACGACACAATAAGCATCTTTCTTGGAGCGGACCATGGCACGGATGGAGATACCCAGTGACACGGAAGAGCAGGCGAGCCCGTCAGTCAACAGTGATAACGAGCCGTCAAGAGAGAGTACCAAATATTTCCCAAAGAACAAACCTTGGGAGCCTTTTCGTTCTGTTAAGGTTTTATTACGTGGCGTTCGAACATCTTAATGCCGTTGCTGATTCGAGGTAGATCATCATTGTGGGGACTGGCATTGGAGGCATAGCGTCTGCCGTTCTCTTGTCCCATAAGGTGAAGAATTCGACAATCGAAGTCTACGAACGACAAAGTAGAGTGGTGAGACTATCACCTCAATGACTGATTACTTCCGAGCCCCCTTCTAACTTTAGATCCAGGGAGGAACATGGGCTGTGAACGTGTATCCGGGAGTTCGATGCGATGTGCCTTCTCATGCCTATCGTGAGTTTCCTCTTTCGCATTTGACTCTCTTGAAATTGTTTCCGATTCGTTAACTTGATACCGCAGAACTGAGCTGCGAACCGAACACAAACTGGTCTGAATACTACCCCAAGGGCGCGGAGATCCAGGCATATTACGAGCAGGTTGTAAGCAAGCACGGATTAGACGATTCGGTCCACCTCGAACACGAGATTCTCAAGGCGACTTGGCTTTCAGAAGCATCTCAGTGGGCCGTTGAGATTCGCGACTTGAGAAGCGGGGATGTGTTCGTCAACACAGCGGCGTTTTTCGTGAACGCGCAAGGTCGCATCAGCAACCCAAAGTTCCCCAAAATTCCTGGACTTCAAAACATCTTCCGAGGAAAGGTCGTCCATACTGCACGGTGGCCTGAAGGTTTCAAAATTACAGGAAAGAGGGTGGCTGTGATTGGAAATGGTGCCTCCGGTCAGCAGATCTTGCCAAATATCCTCACTGAAGTTTCTCATATAGACCATTACGTTCGCACCAAAACGTGGGTTACTCCAACTTTCGCTGGAAAGCTTCATGAGGCAACAGCAGATGCTCCTGGAGGTCCAAAGTACACTGATCAGGAGAGACAACGCTTTCGAGAAGATCCAGCCTACTATCTTGAGCATCGCAGAGCTTTCGAGAGAAAGTTTCACAATCGTTTTGCGGCAGATGTTATTGGAAGCAAAGAAAATGCCGAGCAACGGGAAAATATTATCAAAGGTATGAGGGAGCGGCTCAACGGGGACGAAGACTGGCTTCAGCGAGTCCTCCCTGACTATGCACCGGGATGCAAACGGTTGACCCCCGCGCCGGGATACCTAGAAGGGCTACAGTCGGAGAAGGTGGACTATGTGACGGATTCCATTGTGTCTGTCGATGAAACAGGCATCGTTACAACCGATGGCAAGCGACGAGAGGTGGACATGATCATCGCAGCAACGGGATTTGATACGACCTATTCTGCGGCATTCCCCCTGGTCGGGAATGATGGCATCGATCTGCGCGAGAAGTGGGCACCGGATGGCAAAATTGGGTATCCAGAGACGTACCTGGGCATCATGGCACCAGGATTCCCAAACTACTTCACAGTTCTGCAGGTACGGTCAGCATAAGGATGGTAAAAGGACTACTGGGCTGACATAACATACCTCTAGGCCCAAGGCAACGCTCGCGGGGGGACCGTACCACTGCAGATTGAGATTGCAGCCACCTACATCGCAAAGTGCATCCGCAATGTTCAAACTCAGAGCTATGCTTCCCTCGATCCACGCGAGGAAGCTGCACGGGATTTCAACGACATAGCCAACGGCTACTTCGACAACAAGGTGACGACTGATAAGTGCAATAGCTGGTTCAAGCAGGGAGCCGGCGCGACTCACGTGCTTATCGCGTGGCCGGGAACATTCCATCACCGCGCCGACATTCTTCGCGACCCCAGATGGGAGGACTTCCAGTTCATCCGGAGGCCTGGGGCTGAGAAGAATCGGTTCGAGTACTTCGGCAACGGGCTGACAGCCAGAGAAGTGAGGAGAGATGAGGAGGATATTACAGGCTATTTAAGGGAGATTGGAAAGATCGATATCGCGACACTACATGAAGCTTGGAACACGTAGCCTCATCTCGCCAATGTCTCCCTTGAATGCTCCGCGGGCTAGCACCAGAATGGAATTTCCGGTGGAGACTAGCCACAAGGAAAACAATCAAAGCACGTGGATTCTTCAAGATGTTGAAAGTGAAATACTCTTCTCATTTTGCGTGTTTGCAAGTCTATTATGCCAAAAAGACAGTTCCCCATTGTTCCAATGTCTCGTGTTCAAGCGAGTTGACCGAATCCCCAGTGGTGCCGTAAGGGCCTTTCCAGGCTCCCCTGAATCCCAGCCAGCCACTCCTCAAGTCCTCGCCAAGGTTTACTGCTTACCTGCTTTCGTGCTTGTCAGTATGAGCATTATCCGCATGTACGATTTGAGTCTTGCCCCATTGCTCATATCATACTTTCAGACCCGCGAAGCTTGCATCGACCATCAGTATTGCCTCGGTGGTCAAAAGCATATTGCAGAGTAGGTTGTCGTATTACGGCTTCATTTTGCTCCGATTAGGACACAAATGTTCTGGTATAATTGGTCACTGCGACTGATTGACACGCTGCCGCGCCCTATGTGGACTTCTTCGCATCTTTATGAGACTGAAAGGGGTCTTCCAAATATTTATAACAGCAATAGATACCTTCCCTACTTGTCGCCCGGTTCTGAATCTCCTCATGTCTTGAACGAAGCTTCCATGTATCTCGCCAGAGAACAAGCCTATGTAGTCCACGAGAGCCGCATCCCGAACGACATACTGTTCAGTCTCGAATGCATAGGGGGTGAAGTCTGCCGTTAAGTGTTTGAAGTCTCTGTCCATACTTTGTTCGAAGAAACGCAACCCGATCCTTGTTGGATGCAATGCCTCATCTAATATGACGTTGGAAAGTGCGTATGCGAGTTGATTAGAAGCAAGCCATATCCCTCTAATCTCAAGGGACATACCGCGTAGTGCTACGTAAATGCCGATTGATGGCCAATAGTAATTCCCACGACGGGTTTTGGCTACCTGGTAGTTTTCTTGCTGCTTTTCTAGGACTTCTGCAGCAAAATCCCGAGCAAAGCCAAGTTCTGGCATTGCAATAACGAGACAATCCATGAGATCCCGTGGAGACTCGTGTTTATCCAAGTATATGGAGAGTTGAGTGGAAGATTCGTAATATTTGAGCAATGCATATCGACCAAGCGCCTCGGCCAGTAGATGTGGTTCTTCCTGGAGAACGCCGCGGATTTCATCTCCATAACTGCACGAAAGAGTCTCGTTTAAGGGGACTCGAAGCTTGCAGCCGACATCCCGGTCGCTAAGATGTTTGGCCGGAACGACGGGTAGTAGCGAGTTATGTCGACTTGGTTTGCAATATCTCTTTGGGGGGGCTCAGGTCCATCAACTATGAAACAGACTTGATAAGAGTTCTTCCTTTGGCCATAGTTCTGTGAAAGTATTCCGAGACCCTCGTGTTGTGTGTCGAGAATCGCTGCCCATAACCCAAAAATCATGTCGCACAGAACATATAGATGCCCAAACACAGGAGAACCCGACGGATTCTTGAACCGCCCGAGTTTCTACCCTATTGATTGATCCTGAGGCGAGAAGGAAGTTCGCTATTCTGCCTGTGTCATTTGCCTCATCCTCGAACTCTCTGCCAACAGGCCAACAATCGACGGGGCTAAGAGTGTTTGTAAACCCTAGAACCTTGGTGAGCTGGTTCACTCTCACACCAAATCCAATTGTACTAAGGACCCTTAAGCAAATCTCTGAATACACCAGCCATTGTGAATATGAGAGAGTGAGTTCAGGAGGACTTCTTATTACTCACAAAGCACTGCGGTCCCGAATTCGACTGAGAAGCCCTCTGCTAATGCTGCAACAATTGCGACACTGGATGCGCCATCGGATGTCTTCGGCATCTGGTGTAAAGTGTGTCCAGCTCCAATTCCATACCAAAGAACATCACCAAAGCTGCTGTAGGCTTTTGGTCCTTGATAACGCATCGTGGATAATCCTTTCCCCTTTCATGCCAATAGAGATTAGGGAAAAGATTCCCTGACATACTGCTGCGGTCAGTGGTTCAAAGACCGGCGTGATAAAATTCGGCCAGAACCGCCATCGATGTTGGGATGGTGGTATTTGAAAGTGCGACCCAGTCAACGGAGCCTTGCTGTGCGAAGCCTGGGTCTGACTCGAGCGGACTCAGGAACATGGCCTGGCTGCCTATTATGGACTTGATAGTATCAAGACTAGAATTGCAGCTTAGATACCATGTGGCATCATCAAGAAAGAAAAGTAAGAGAGCGTACGCTACCCCGCAACCATCTCACTTTTCATTGTTGGACCAAGAGCTCAGTGCCGACCCTGATTGGGGGTCATTGATGATGTGTAATCCGCGCAAGGCTGGCAGTTTTGTGAAGCTGGTTGGCTTTGTGAGATCATATGGGAATTTTGCACATGATAGTCACATCCTACGAGATCGACAAGAGGACTTTAAATCCAATTGAAGGACAACATGAGGTAAGTATAAAGTCATCATCAAGATGCCATGTTTAAGATCATGTTGCAGCAGGACTCGATGTAAGCCACATGATAGTAGGCTTGAAAACTTTGCCACGAAGCTTATGCGATTCAACAGCTGTTATAGGCGCCTGACCTCGAGAGCAATCTAAGGAGCGCAGGTAGAGTTTACGTTCGGTCAAGGTCTGGGGGTATGGCGAGGAATTTTACAAAGATCCAAGAGCGTAGAAGTTTCTCAGTTCATTATCTAGCCGCACGTCATAAATCAGGTTTTTTCGTCGACCGTTGTCATCGAAATGGCGAATGTCAAAATGACTACGTTGAAGTCAAAGCATCAGATGAGAATATGTCCATTAGGAAGGTGTATATTTGTAATGGTGATATGGAGCAAGGCTGTCATCGGATCAAGGCTTAGTTATTTTTGAATCGAAACTAATGCCAAAAGTCCAAAAGGATTCCGCATGCTGAGAGAAGAGCTGGGCCATTCCGTCAAGATGCTTTCATGACAGGTAGTGACTCCTCACGTTCTTGCAAGTGGGAATAATGCCACCGCTGTGGAGAGTTGTGGAGAGAATATCCGGTCTAGGACGCTCCAGTAATGCTGCGCTATGAACAAACCCATTGATCTCGTAAGATCAAGATCCTTGACAGAGATTTGATGCTGTCATGGTCCGTTGTCGCCTCTTCCTAGCTCGAGAAATAAGAAATGATTGCCCGAGAGGGAGAACATCGTTGGATGAGACCCTCCGGAAACGTCTCCGCTTCAAAACATCCAACGGGCCGAGGCCAAGCCAAATAAACGAGTCTGACTCGCAGCCTGGGGGTTGGTATCCAAAAGATCGGGATCGGGAGCCGCATGGTGATGGACAGGGGCAAACCTCAAAGGGGAAAAGGGAATCTCGGGGGTCGGGAAGAAAAGTCAGGAGATCTGGCTGGGCCGAGTACGAAGCCGAAGAGAGGGGAGTAAATTTGGAAATGGAACGTTTTTTCCCTCCTCGCCTAGGGATGAGAAATGCAGAGTGTCGTCAAGGAGAAGCTCGGGAGGGCGCCGGGCGGAACGCCATGGACAGGGCCCAATTTCCAAGCTTAGGCGGAGGGAATGTACGGTTATTGAGGTGTGGGAACGAGGATTTGTTTTTCTCTGATGGTCTCTTTGGCTATTGATTGGCCCCTTGCTGAGTTGTGCGCCCCCTTCGTTGGATTGCGGGGAAGGTGAGACACCGCGAACCGGCGAGTTCCCAGACGAGGCGATCCATTCTTCACCTCCTGGCTAAACTCAACATGATCAAATCAGGTACAGGAAAAGATAGCGAGGAAATTGCAGTCTGTTGACTAAGGGCTGGGGGCCGATTGGGAGACGGGGGAGTGTGTGCTGGTGTCAGCGAGGCATGCAAGCTCATTTTGTCACACAGGAGACAATGCCAGACGAAGGGATAGACGTGAGGCGGGGACAACACACGAGGAGTTCTGGTTTGTTTTGGCTGGAGGGAAAGGGAGCGTCCGGCATGTATAAGAGACTGGAGAGTTTCCAAGTTCAGAACGTTCTTCTTTCTCTCCTCACCCTCACCATCATTACTCCGGCATCCTTCGCCACTCACTCTCGCTTCAGCCTCGATTCTTTCGTTTAGTACCCGAGGTCTTCAGTCACTCTTTACCTGTGTTTTTTCGCTCGTTCATTCGCAATGCATCGTGTGGCGGCTCTTGCCCTTTTGGGCCAGGTCGTTTCTGGCCAGTTGTTCAGCAACTCCTCGACCGTTTCGACGACTCGCTCGTCGACTGTGCTCACCTCCTCCTCCACCACCGTGATCGTCTCCTCCATCCCGACAGTCATCACCTCCGGAAGCTCCACCATCACCACGGCGATCCCGATCACCTCCACCAGCGTCAGTGAGATCGTCTCCGCTTCCACCGATGATGGTGGCTTCACCTTCCCCACTGACGACGGCACGTCCTCCGAGGAGTTCCCCACGAGCACGGACTCGCCCTCTGCCACCGAGACCGGCGACATCACGAGCACGGAGGAGCCCATCAGCTCCACCGACATCCCCTCTGAGACCACCGGCACCCCCTCTGAGACCACCGGCACCGACTCCATTTCCTCCACCGGCACCGAGACTACTGCCACCGGCACTGAGACCTCCACCGGATCCGACTCCACCTCCACCCCGAGCGCCACCGTCGCTCCCAACCCTCAGAACGTTGGTGGCTTCACTTTCCTGGGCTGCTTTGGCTCTCCTTCCAGCTTCCCCACCTTCGACCTGACCCTCTCCGCCGAGTCCATGACCATCGACCGCTGCATTGCTGCCTGCCCTGCCGGCAAGCGCTACGCTGCTCTCTTCGGCAACGACTGCTTCTGCGGTGACTTCGTCGATGATGTCAACGAGGTTGCCGTCTCTGACGACGAGTGCAACATCCCCTGCGGCGGCAACCCTACCCAGCGCTGCGGTGGCCGTGCCTCCGAGGCCGTCCTCAAGCGCCAGATCATCGCCGCCACCATTCGCTTCACCATCTACGTTCGTGTCGATGGTGCCAGCGGCACCGGCGCCGTCACCACCGCCACCGTCACCACCACCTTCACCGTCACCACCACTGGCACCGCCGGCACCGGCATCGAGGTCGTCACCACCACCTACTGCCCCGTCTGTGCCGACTGTCAGGGCCCCTTCTGCTACAAGCCCAAGACTCCCCTCGTCCCTGGCCAGCCTTGCTGGGGTGACGACTGCTACAAGAAGCTTGTCTGCTACGGTGACTGGTGCACGTGGGACTACCCCTGCTACGGCGACTCCTGCGGACGCCGCCTCGTCTGGGAGAACGACTGCTGGAAGCCCGAGGTCTGCCACGGCGACGACTGCGGCCGCAAGGTCATCTGCTCCAACGGCAACTGCGAGTACGCCACCTGCAACGGCTCCTGCAACAAGGAGAAGATCACCTGCTACGGCGACGTCTGCAAGGTCGAGGAGTGCGAGGGCGACGAGTGCAACAAGAAGTACGTCTGCTCCGACGGCTCGTGCCAGCACCAGACCTGCCCCTACGCCGACGTCAACAAGCACTTCGACTGCACCGACGGCAAGTGCGAGGAGGTCAAGCCCTGCGAGACCTGCAAGCCCGCTCCCCCCTGCACCGGTGACGCCTGCAACATCATCATCACCCCTCCCCCCACCACCCAGGTCGTCTGCAACGGCGATGCCTGCAAGACTGTTGTCGTCACTCCTCCTCCCGTCACCCAGACTCCTTACCCCACTGGCCCTGCTCCTGCTCCTGCCCCTACTGGCGGCATGGGTGGCAACGGTGGAAACGGCGGCAACGGAGGCAATGGCGGCAACGGTGGAAACGGCGGCAACGGAGGTAACGGAGGCAATGGCGGCAACGGAGGTAACGGAGGCAACGGTGGCAATGGCGGCAACGGAGGCAACGGCGGAAACGGTGGCAACGGCGGCGAGGGCACTCCCGCCCCTGGCCCCGCTCCTACCGGTGCTCCCGCTCCCGGCCCTGCTCCCGCTCCCGGCCCTGCTCCTTCTGGCGCCCCTGCTCCTGGCCCCGGCCCTGCTCCCTCTGGCACCACTCCCGGTGGTGAGGGCGGCAACGGAGGAAACGGCGGCAACGGTGGCAATGGTGGCAACGGAGGCTCTGGCAACGAGGGCGGCAACGGCGGCAATGGAGGCAACGGCGGTAACGGAGGCAACGGTGGCAACGGCGGTCAGGGTACGCCCGCGCCTGGCACACCCTCCACTGTTGTGACCGCCGGCTCCAGCCAGTCTGTTGCCAGCTTCGGCGCCCTGGCCTTCAGCATCGTTTTCGGTGTTGCCTTCCTCCTGTAAGAAGGGGGCCTCCTGTAAATCGACGAGACGATGTTTCCTTTTTCTCTTCTTCCGGCTCGGCTTCATTTCGATGAGCCTGGCTTGATAATTCTTTGGACCGGTGGGTTGGGGCAGCTGTATGGAGGGCGGTTTCTATTCGACAGAGGGCTAGCGGTCGTGGATTGGTTATCTTTGGACCCCACTGTTTAGCTACCGATGACTTGAGAAATGATTCTGACGATATAGAAAATAAAGCGTTTGTTTCGCACTAAATCATGAACCGCCTTTTGTAGAAGTTTGCTTTGATGATGCTTACAGGCTGGTGGACGATGAACCCAAAGCCTCGTATTGATCGCCTTGGGATCTCCTAGTGATGACAGCCCTTCACTACTTCTTACCCAACTCACGAACTCTCTCCTGTTCCCAAGCCTCTCTCTGCTTCACAGTCTCGGAAGACTCGTCCCCAAAGACGGACAGGGCAGCTGGCCAGTCGCCACCCAATCTTCTGACTTTGCGGCACCTGGCCACCCTCACGAAGAACTCCAGCCATCGGTTCGTGGCTGCAATGACAAACCATAGGAATAGGGTAATACCTATGACTTGTCTGACCCATCTCGGCGGGACGTAGTAGTGAACGAGCGCCTCCACGACCCTGAAGAAGCCGGCCGGGCCATTGTAGTTGCCGTGGGGGCAGTGGCAGTTGACAGGCTCGGGGTAACAGGTGATGGGGGCTTGTGGATCCAAGTCGGACATTTTTTCCTAATGATGATTTAGTGGGAGACGCTCCTCGTGATCCTTTGTGAGCCTACACTGGTTGTTGTTTGGTCTCTTCGACTAACGCAATTGTTCACTGTGCAGTCTTGGCAGATGGATGACCAAAATGTAAGCCTACTTGTGATGCTGCGCTGGTGGGCTCGGGCAGATCTCTTCTTTTGATGTGAATGGGGTTCTTGGCAAAAGACCCAGCTGAGCGGCGCAGCAACCGAAGTACTACTACTCGGCCCGGCTTGGTCACTTGGCCTGACAGCCGATTGGCCGCCCGGCGTCAGTCGGGCAACGAATGGCTTCTCAAAAGCCTGGCAGAGTTTCCATTGGTTTGTACGGCGTAGAGGGCACATAGGGTGGGGAGGACTAAATTCCGCGTATGGTCCAAATTCGGCGTGTACAAACAACTTTGCACCCAATTTGGGCCTAGCAAGAATTCAACTATTGCTGTTTTGAGTCGCAATGTAATGGACTTCGATGTAGCATGAGCATGCGATATTGACCATGAGCGATGTTGGGTCGCAATCCGAAGGATGTCCGGGCATTTCGGCACCAACCGCCCCACTGCGGTGCGGAAGTACGGCGGAGGTGGGGCCGTGTTGTCCGGCATCCCAAATTATTCGTTCCGTTCGTCAGTCCAGTCGGAGCACCGAATCCAACCCGCAGGGGTAAAATGGTGCGTAAGTCTACTCGTTAAGACATTCCTTCAAAGCATTAACGATTCCATTGAATAAGACGCGTCCCGTTCGTTATCCCTGGATCCATGGTACTTTTACAATCGCATCTGCCCCAGTGCACTAGAAGTTATCCAGTTTTATGTATCAGATATCCGTCGAGCTCATGGCCAACATTCCAAGTTTGAGTTCCATCTCGAAAGGCTGTCAGCGTCATCCTTTGGTAGCAGACGTCGCATATACCCCTTTGCGTGTTTCAGCCCTCGGGGGGTCCAGGCGGCGCTGTAACGGCGCTGGGAAGCATGAGGTGGAGATGGGGCACGGTTCCAATGGCTTTTCCTTCATGGGCGGCGTTCCATGCCTGGAAGAAACGCCTACAGCGGACTCGGGGCGCTATTCTGCGGCTAAGCGACGCCTGGTTGGGCGGACAAACTGCCCAAGAGGTGCTAGAGCGGGTGGCAGGTGTTTGGGCAAGTGCCACTCAAGCCACCTCAATGGAAAGGCAGGTGGCAGGCGGTGGTACTAACGCGGGGAAAGGAAGGAAGGACCTGGACCTAGACCTGGACCTGGACCTTCCACGGCTTGTTGTTGCAGTTTGCAGTTGCAGGTGCAGCAAGGTGCAGGTGCAGCCCAAACACCCGGACAGCTGCACCTGCCTCCCCCCCCAAGAAAAAGCACCAGAACACGGCAAGAACGAACGAACGAACGAACGAACGAACGCACAGCACGCACTTGCCATGCAAAACATAGACCTTGATGCACAATCGCTCGCTCCCCAAAGCCAATTCCTCGTCTCTCCTCGCGTGCCTCTCGTTCTTCTCCCTCCTCCCCAACAGACCCGAACTTACGTTGCTTGGCCATACCGCCGCTCAACCTGACTCTCGCCCACTCCCGTCCGCTCCGCACCGGCGAGGCACTGCGCGACAGGCCCAAGCCAGCCTCCGAGGTCCGTCCAAGAAGCAGGCACGGTGCAGACCAAGGCCCATCATCTCCCGAAGGCGACACCGGCACGACAAGACACGACACGACACCGGTCAGGACAGAGAGAGACACACACACCGACCGCAGAAGCAAGCAAGGCAGCGAGGCGACTCTGGACTGACACTGACCTTTCCAGACGCGGACGGGCACATGGACGAACTCTATCTTAACCAACATGCCCTCCACGCCCTCCCCCGCGTCGCCCAGCCGTCCAACTTCCACTTCCACTGCGACCGCCTGTCCTGCTCAAGCCGACATTTCTTTTCTTCCCTCTTCTAGTCTTTCTGGACCTGCATCTCCCCTCAATTCACCTCCATCTCACCCGAACTCCAACTCGCCGACAGCGACAGGAACCCGCGCCCGAAGAAGCAGAAACACCGCCAAAGACGCCCATTTCCTGCGTCAGGCATCCGAATGGCTCATTGAGCGTTACATCCTCGTCCCCCCAATCCCGTGGGGCATTCCTCTCACCACCGTCTCTCAAACATCATCTCACCACTCAAACGATTCACATCAAACTTCCTCAGCTCACCCGGAACACCACCACCTCGACCAAGACGACACGACAAGGACGAGGGCGGAACGCCCGACTCAGTCCGTTATGGCGACGGATCCGGACAAAAATGCAATTGCCGCCCCGTCTGGCTCTCATTCGCAGGCACTTCAGCAGGACCAAGACCATCAACAGCAGCAGCAGCAGCAACTCAAGAGGAAATGGAAGAAGATTTGGCTTAGAGGGTTGTCGGTCCGCATTCGGCCTCGCAAAGACATTCCGCGACGTGCGACTACCACACCACCTGGAGCAGCAACGCCACCAGCAGCAGCAGCAAGAGGAGGAGCAGTAGCACCTGCACGTGGAGCAATAGCTGAAGGACAAGGGCCTGCGGGAAACGTCGAGAGGGGCACCCAGACCACCACGGGTCACCAAACACTGCAGCAATCAGAAACGCTTGCGCACCCAAGCGAGTCAGATCGTCTTACGGACTCCGACCCCTCCACCGCCGGGACAGCTTCCCAGCACTCGGCCGCGACTTCCACCACCGCTCAGACCACCGCCGTCCCCTCATCCTCGTCCTCCTCCTCCTCGACATCCCTCAGCGTAAGCGTCGGCGCCTCCATCGGCAACTTTCCATCCTCCTCCGCACCGTGTCCCACCTGTGGCCAGCGCCGTCATGTCGATCTCCACCGACCCCCGACTCCCGTGAAGCCCGAAGACCGCTTCCAGTTTCGCTCTGGTGTGCCTTACGGACCATGGACCATCACTCACCCACCGCGCACTCCTGCACCCCAAGCTGTGTGCAGCGAACCGTCCGAAGTTCCCGCCCCAGCCACCAAGGTCGAATGTGCAGCTGAACCCGCTCCCGGACCCCTCACTGCATTCCACCCCTTCTCCCGCCTGCCTCCGGAGCTCCGTTCCAAAATTCTCCGCTTCTACTTGGAACGGCCCCGCATTGTCGAAATTCGGTGCATGAACGATCTGAAGAAGATCCATTTTGCGCCAAATGCCCTGGGAAATCTTGCATCCAACATTGCATGGAGCGCAGACAACACCCTCCCCGCGTTGATGTGGGTGAACCGGGAATGCCGTGCCGAGACACGTGCCTTTTATCGCGTGCAATTGCCGATGCACCCAACGAATAAGATCGCTTGGCCTGTCATCATCAATCCAGAGTACGATACAGTCATATTTACCTTCCCTTGGAGCAGCGAGATTCCGCTTGATATCTTCCTGAGCGATTGTCTCGCTTTTGACCCTTTGCGTGTGGGCATCCGCCATTTCGGCACTCGTGACAGAGGCGGGCCCGAGACATGGGACCTGACGCCGGTGCCGGGGTGCGCACCGCTGTCCAAGAGCTTGGCCAACCTGGAATCTTACACAGAGGCGATTCAGCTGATGGATGACCGCGCCGCTGCACGGTTTCCAGTGTGGATGATTCACGAGGGTTATCTAACGAGTGGAATCCCCGCGAAGGACGCATTTTACCATGACGTACCCCGACTGCTTCTCAGCAACGACTACGAGCCTCCGGATGCGGCGAATCAGCGCAACGCACTCGAGGCACTTCGGACACAGCTTGGAGACTACCTGCCTGATAAAGTGGCGGAAAATTTGGTGATGCAGAGAATGTTCTACCGCAAGTATTTCCGCCATCTACGGATGAAGTGCACTAAGACGGACCTCGCCGGGTTGGGTATGGTCAGGCAGATTCCAGGAGGAGAGACGGAAGAGTTCTTCCTGAGTAATGGACGAGAGGTAGCTGGGCCGCGAAAGAAGAGGAGATCAGCGCTCGAGGTGCGCCCGAGCAGCAGTTGGCATCTGTGGGACGAGGATTAGGGGACTTTCATGGATAAGCTGATGAATTAATGGCGTTTGAAGAAGGATTGGTAAGGGTCACATATCTGCGCGCAGGCATCATTCGAACAGAAGCCTGGGAAACAGATCACAGGCGAATAGCAAGAATTAGGAATACCAGTCCACTTTTGTGCATTGCCAGTATTCACAGTAAAGTTTCTCTGCGTGTTTGGGAACCAACAATGCAATTTTTGGCTTGCCTCCTGAAGCAAGCGGGTATAAGGAGAGTAAAGGCCGCCCTTTTTCTG